ATTTGACTTTTAAGCCTATTGTTTTCAAAAAAGGAAAGCAACATAAGGACAGAGGATAATTATAAGGTTACAAACTTATGCTTGTAGGAATGTACTGAGTTTAAATTCTATGTCTCTCTTCATTACAAGTTATAGTAATTATTTGATGAATTAAAAATATGTATGTGTATAAAAGGAGAAAAGAGAACCTTCGAGTGTAAAAAGGGAACAGGCATGGTGCTTCATTGTACAATGCTATTATGCTCAAAGCCCCATGAAGTTGCTCATCTCCATAGTGACCAGTGTTTGTTATTAAATGAATGAATGAGACCTGGTGGAGAGGGCAGCAGGAGACTTCTCGGGTGAATCTGTCAGGGGCCACTGGGCATGATCAGGGCTTGCAATATTGAGAAGTTAAGCCCTGTCAAACAAAATAATCAGATGAGTGAATATACATTATGAAAGTAGACATTAGTGGCAGTCTTGTTTTTCTACACACAGTTTTTTACTCTTTGTTCACATAAATGTTGACTTCTGTTCTAATCCCAGTTTTGAACACATATGGAAGTAACTTAAGGGTTTTACTATTTTACTACTGAGGACTGAATTAAAATATTTGTGCTACTCTTCACTTAAGAAGGAAGACCTCGCGTGACAAGAAGCATGGCTGGTCGAGACCTGACAAGTCCAGTGTACTGCAGTGAATGTGGATTTATAGCTTCCTGGCTTCCACATCTCTGACTGCTGACTCGTCTCCCACTATCTACCTCCTGATGTTAGGCACTCAGAGAGAGAACCCAAGGACACTACCCAAGGTTGTCCTAAAATGGTGGCCATATAAACATAATCACAGAGGCCAAAAGCAACTAGAAAAGGAGACATACTCACAGACTGCTTGCTTAGTAGCATCTCAGCTTTAGGATACTTTTCATTTCATAGACTAGCGAGACTTTCCATATAGAGCTTGATGTACGTACCTAAAGTTTGACTTTGAGGTAGGGTAATTATATGTCCCAGACCTTCTTGGTTTACATCTGTTGTCCTGGCATAATTATTAATGTGCCTCTTTGCACTCCCCAAAATGTCCTGATTTGGATGATAAATTAGATGACCATCCAGTTGGTAAGCCTTGGTGCTTGCTACTATTCTTCTCAACTTTTCCCTAGATCTACTGATGAAGGAATGCCCTGTTGGCCTCTAGGTTCTTTTTGAAGAGCTCATTCTGCTCCTAGCAACCCACACAATTTTTTAATCAGGGGTATAAACTGTGAGGATTCGACACATTTCAGTGTTGTTCAGTTTCAGTGAATGTAGATTTCAGACCTGGGCTTCTAGAGACTGATAGTTTGACTTTTTTTTATAAGGAAGTAAATGACTTTGAATTCATGTAGACCAGATGGTTTTCTTGTGCTCCAGCATTTGTCTTTCCTCGCATTTCCCCCGAAGCCCAAGGCCCTGACCTTTACCTAATCAAACAATTTAATTTGCTTGATTAGCCTACTCAGCCTTTCATGACAGGGTTACCCAAAAAAGGCATATGATTCTTTCTTTAAACTAAGGCATTCAAGTTATTTTAAAAAAAGCAAAACAGGGACGCCTGGGTGGCTCAGTCGTTAAACGTCTGCCTTCGGCTCAGGTCATGATCCCAGGGTCCTGGGATCGGGTCCCACATCGGGCTCCCTGCTCAGCAGGAAGCCTGCTTCTCCCTCTCCCTCTCCCCCTGCTTGTGTTCCCTCTCTCACTATTTCTCTCTCTGTCAAATAAATAAATAAAATCTTTAAAAACAAAACAAAACCCTAGGAGTCATCCACCCTTTTTGGTTAATAAGATTTTTGGGCAGAAGGGATTCCTAGTAAGTAACTTTTCCCAGTTCCTAGGATGCTTGGCTTCTCCATAATGAGCCTAAGTGGAAGATATAAACCTTTGGGAGTTTTGATCACTTGGCTATTCATGGGCCTACTTTCGTTAGACACAGAAATCTCAAACTTGAGGACTCCAACAAATATATATATATTTATATAGGAAAAATCTCTCCAAGGCATATTTCTCTCTTTGCGTCAATTTCCAATTCTTAGATCTTGTAGCAGCTTTCTTTGTACATTTGCTGATGATTCTGAAATTCTTTGAACATTACATTTCTAAATTTTTCTTTGTGATAAATCTTGGAATTAGGATAGTTGAAACCATGTTTCTGTAATAAAGATGAAATCTGAGCTTTAACACTATAGAGTTTTATCTCTTACCCACCTTATGGTCCAATACAAGTTGAGGGGTTTTCCTGGGAAGCTCTTCTCCAGATCATGATGTAGGAACTTAGGCTGCACCCATCTTGTATCCATGCCATCTGGGGCACGGGGCTTCCAGAGTTGCCATGGAAGAGAGAGCTTGGATAATCATGCGTGGAGTATAATAACCACACTAGAGGGGTAGACATCACTTCCCACCATATCTTATGAGTCATAATTCAATCTCTCGGCCTTAACCTCACTGCTAAAGAAGCTTTGAAATGTGGTCTTACTGTGCTAGGAAGGGGAAAGTGAAATGGGATATGGTGGCCGCATAGCATCATTTCTGCCACAGCTCCCTTCATTGGTTTGATTCTTGGCTCACTTGCCATGTTTTAATAGTCTTACCGTTCTCCTGCTCTCAGAGTTCAGCATCTTCAAGGTGTTTACCCTTGTTCTTCATATTTGAGTAAAATCACATTCAGTCTGACTCTAGAATTCATGTTCTTTTCACTTCCTCAGTGGTACAGATTCACCATGAAGGTGCAGAGTGAGGGTGTTCAAGAAAATTTCCTTACTCCAGTTCTTACTGTCTCTTCCACCTTGCTTTGAACTTCCATCCTACAGTGACCTTTATCAGATTTGGTGATTAATGATTAGAATGCTATTATATGCCCTTGTCATCACAAGCAAATAAATTTGTTTTCAACTCTTAGACATGCTCCAGTGATTGTGTGGTTGAGAATTTTGAAAATAATGAATTACCTGTAGAGAGAGGTAAGTAGAAGGTAGTTAGTGAAACCTCTCTCTGCCTTGGTGTTATGGAAGCGTTCCTCAGAAAAATGTTACCATCAACAGCCCTGTTTATGTATATTCACAATGCTAGTCGCTGACTTAATGAACTAGATATGAAAGAAGTTTCTGCACCCTGTCAGGTATTTTCAAGTACATAGAGTTAAGAACTGTTGTTACTTTGACTATTAACTTTGATTTTTAAAAGGGAATGAGTAGATGTACCATTATTTAGTTTCAAATGTAGAAACATCAGTAGATACACATTTGATTAGTAATTTCTTTTTTTAAGATTTTTTAATTAATTAATTAATTAATTAATTTATGTATTTATTTGCCAGAGAGAGAGACAGGGAGAGAGAGAACTCAAGCAGGGGGAGTGGGAGAGGGAGAAGCAGACTCCCCGCTGAACAGGGAGCCCGATGCGGGGCTCGATCCCAGGACCCTGGGATCATGACCTGAGCCGAAGGCAGACACTTAACAACTGAGCCACCCAGGCGCCCTTGATTAGTAATTTCAATAGAAAAAGTTGTCCAAGGTGCCAGAATCTGCCTCATTTCTGTGTTGTAAAGGTTGACCTTCAGCTCATGTGGGAGACCATGCTGGATGCACGCCTGGGTCTCCCCCTCTGTTGACTGGCTCCAAGGCACCTCCAGCCTTCCTCATTGGGGCATGTTAGAGCTGCATCTGATGCAGTGCTTCCATACTCCTGTTAAAGCAGTAATGTCAGGATTTCCTAAGAGGAAAACCTACACTTAGGCAGAACTAGAGAAAGTAAAATGTCAGAGTAGGAAGGGCCCACATCTGGCTCATACATAGTAGAACCTACTTTTGTCCTCTTCTTATCATTAGGGTGAAATGAGTTAACCTCTTTCTAGCCCCTAGCACAGTGCCTAGGACCTAGTGAGTGTTCAGCACATGGGACTTACCATTTGTCATCATTATTTCTAGTGGCAGAGCCCAAAGAGGAACCCAGATGCCCAAATAGTTGCCTGCTGTTTTCCGAGGCACATAGTTTGCATTCCCCACATTGTATAGGGAGAAATGTGTTTGGAGAAATTGAATTAAAATAAAAGCAGTGGCAGCCTCATTCTCATTGCTGAGCATGGACTTGGGGCTGAGGTCTGGGCTACGCATGGTGTGTGCTTTCATGTAACCTCCAACATCCCATGAGATTCATACTCTCTATCGCCTTCGTTTGACTCAAGTAAAGGCTGAGTTGGGGAACGGGCCTGTGGTCACAGCACAAATAAGGGGCTGCACTAGGCTTTAAATCCAAATTTGTCTGACTTCAAAGTCTTTATTTTTAACTGTTATTTTATTCCAGGGGTTGGCAAACTATGGCCCACAGGCCAAACCGAGCATACCTGGTTTTGCATAGTCCTCAGGCTAAGAATATTTTTTACATTTTTTAAATGGTTGAAGAAATTGAAGAAGAAAAAATGTCATGACACAGGATGATTAGGTGAAATTGAGATTTCAGTGTCCATAAATGAAGTCTTACTGGAACACGGCTGCGCTCATTTGTTTACATCGCCTGTTCTGTGTCTAGAATTGAGTAGTCGTGGCAGAGTCCATGTGGCCCGAAAAGCCTAAAATACTTACTATCTGGCCTTTATTCTATACTTTTCCTCAGTGATTATGTTTTTGAGATTCCAGTTATTTAGAACATAATTTTGGGATTTTTATAAGGTCTGTCTCCTCCTGTTACCTGCCTTTTCTGTATGTTCCATATTAATTAACCTATCAGTCAAATGATGCATAGTGTGTATAAACAGAGTTCAGCCTTATAGTATCTATATTTTGTCTTTTTTTTAAAACAGAGTGAGGAATGATTTGTTACTGGAGAACGTTCGAGGCTTTTGATGAAAACCTGTTCGTGCTTGCCGTGGCGGGTGGCTCTTTGTGGTCTACATGCCCCTCGTAGCCATCTACTGAGCTGATTATTTTTAAACCTCTAAGTGTCTTGGATGCAGAAATCACTCTATTTTCTTTCCCTTGTAGTGGTTTGCTGTCTTCTGATTACGTGGAGATCCACTACGAAAATGGGAAGCCACAGCATTCTAAGGTATAGTTAAGAACATATGGAAATCCTGCAGCATAAACACGCTTGCCCATAGAATTGTTCATTGCACACTGCATTGTTTTGATGTCTCTCTCAATAAAATGAGCTGTCCTCTTGTACAACAGTGCTATTTTCAAATTTAAAATAAGTTTAGGAGAGACTTATTTAAAACTTATAAATGTTCGAGATAGCATTAGACATTCTGTATATTCAGGTCAATAAAGAAATGTTTATTGTTTTGGTTATACATACTGTATCTTCTGTAAATGAATGGTATAAAGAGCTATACAGCTCCATAGCAATACCTTCAAGTAGTAGATCACCAGCTCATGGTCATAGAGTCTGAATGATGGGACTAGAATGGCTGTTTAGTCCAAGAGACTTTGGTGCCTGAGAAGGGCAGAGGACAGGTAGGGGAAGGGAGATTCAGGGAACACTGTCCTTAATCTTCACAAGAGTTCTGGGAGATGGATATTATTATTTCTGTTGTGCAAAGGAAGGAAGAAATTGAGGCAAAGAGGGGGCAGATAAACTTACCCAAGGCCACCATGGATTGTCATTGAAAGCTAATTGGGTACTTGATTTCCTTCAGTGGAGATTAACTATTCTTTTAATGGAGTGTCAATAAGGAGCAGGTGGGTTTAGATGCAAATAAGATTATTTGCATGTAAGGGAGACAGTGATCTCTACCAGTCAGGATGAAAATCCCGGGGATGGCTACATTCAGAGACTGATTTGTAGGAAGTCCAGAGAGTACCACTGAACCTAAGCTGTGTCCATGGAGCAGACACCACGGGCACAGGAGAGGAAACGGGGAAACAAAATACAATGGGAAACTTTGGATTTTTTTTCTACGTTGCTAACGAGTATTGGCACAGAAGTGGGCCTTTCATGTGTGGGCTTGCTGGGTTGTGTAGCACAGAGAACTAGGTTTTTTCAGTGTGATAGCTTCTCACCAAATATTTATGGGTGGCCTTCATTGTAAATACTGCCCAGGGGGTTATGGAATTTCTCAGGATTTATAACTGTCCAATTAACAGTGGGCACATTTGTAATTTGATGCGTGTTTTAAGCCTTTGAATTTTATGCCACAGATTAAGAGCTTCCAGTTATTATTCTTATTGTTCTGTCAGTTCTTGCCTCAGGCTGCATCTTGGGGGTTGTTGAAGCTCCCGAAAAGTGAATGCTGTGGAAAGTGAGCAGAAATGCTAAATCAAGCACTTGAACGGTGCCTTCTGGCATTTGTACAAACCAAAGCTTCCGTCAGCTGAGCCAGGGCCCTGAGCACTGCGGATGCTGAATCATGAGTTTGGAGTAGAGAAGATTGCACGAGAACTTTATAGACTTAGCAAAGGAGCCACATTTGCAGGCCACAGTAACCTGAGTCAAACGTCTCACTAACAAGTTCAGTCAGTTTTTTTTTTTTGTTTTTTTTTTTGTTTTTTTTTAGAAGCGGAATAGCTAATTGGCCTCCAGAGGTCATTTGAGGTCCCAGAAGGAGGCCTTACTAATAAGGCACATCAAAACTCATATCAGTTACAACTAGAATTTAAAACAAAGGGTAGTTCAGCTGTGGCAAAGGAAGTGTTTATTGCACTTTGTTTTTGTGGTCATTGCTTTTCTCTTGATGCCTCATTTTCTCCAAACAGATCATATACCCAAACTTATTGCTTCCTATATAATGAGTTAATGGTAACAGTCTGTTTTTTATGTGTCTGTATTTATATATATAACCCCCAAAACCAAGATGACATGGTGCACAGTATGTTGAAGCAGAATTTTTTTTAACGTAATAATATTATGAACATTTTTTTAAAAAGATTTTATTTATTTATTTGACAGAGAGACACAGTGAGAGCAGGAACACAAGCAGGGGGAGTGGGAGAGGGAGAAGCAGGCTTCCCGCTGAGCAGGGAGCCTGATGTGGGGACTCGTTCCCAGGACCCTGAGACCATGACCTGAGCCAAAGGCAGACGCTTAACGACTGAGCCACCCAGGCGCCCAATATTATGAACATTTTAACATGTATTAAATAATCTTCTAAACTTTTATCTCTAAAAATGTGTAATATTCTTTCCTATTCATTTGCTATAATTTGTTTAAAAATCCCATAGCAATAGACATTAGATTGCTTCCAATCTTTTACTATACAAATAATTTGTAAGGAAAGTCCTTCCTGATACATTTTTTAAAAGACTTTATTTATTTATTTGAGAGAGAGAGAGAGAATGGGGAGGGGCAGAGGGAGAAGGAGAGAGGGAATCTGAAGCAAACTCCACAGAGCTGATGCGGGACTCGATCTCATGACCCCGAGATCATGGCCTGAGCTGAAGCCAAAAGTGAGATACCCAACCACCTGAGCCACCTGGGCGCCCCCCCTGATGCATTTTGAACCCATCTTTAATAATTGCTTAAGGATTAATTCTGAGAATGGGATTTTTCTGGGTCAAAGCATTGGTACCTTTCTTTAAAGTCTTTTGGTACATATTGATAGCTTTTCTTTCTGAAGGTTTATTTAGATCCACACTCTTCCTACCATTACATACATATTTTTTAAAACGTTTTTTTTTAAACTTCAGATTGCCTTCCATGTTGAGAAAATCTCTGTACAGAGTACCAGCGAAGGAAATTAACACGTAAGGATGGTTAGGTTAATTAAACCTGTTTCAACCCAGTGTGCAACCTTTCTTGCAAAGATTACACACTGTTTAGACAAAAGTGCATGCACACACCCTCTGTTATTCACTAGAGATGAAAAGAATTACGCCAAGCCTATTTGGCTTTAACTTTAAGTGGAGACATTTAAAATATCCCAAGAATTAGTTTCAAACAGAATGATGAATCCACACTTTGAAGAAGCTTGTCAAGGTTTTTCCACTTCACCACCACGCTCAAGGTTGCCTATGATCTGAACGATGGACAATAGTAAGTGCTGGTGAGGATGTGGAGAAGTAGAACCCTCACAGACTTCTGGCAGGAATGTAAAATGGCAGAGCTGCTTTGGAAAACACTTTGGCAGTTCCTCAAAAAGTTAAGCATACAGTTACCTTATGACCCAGGTGTTCTACTCCTGGGTAGATATCCAGCATATGTTTAAGCAAAAACTTGTACATAGATGTTCACAGCAGCATTATTCATAATTATCAAAAAAGTGGAAACAACCCAAATGGGCACCAATTGATGAATAAATAAGATGTGATATATCCACACAAGGGAATATTATTCAGTCATAACAAGTAAGGAAGTACTAAGGCATGGTACAACATGGATAAATCTTGTAAACATTATGCTAAGTCAAAGAAGCCAGTCACAAAAGTCCATATATTGTATGATTCCATTTGTTGAAAATGTCCAGAATACAGTTTGGTTGCCAGGGGCTGGGGGTGAGGAAGAGTGGGAAATGACTGCTCACGGGTGCAGGGTTTCCTTTTGAGGTGATGAAAGCATTCTGGAATTAGTGGTGATGGTAGCACACCCCTGTGAGTAGACTAAAAACCACTGCATTACACTCTTGACAAGGGTGAATTTTATGGCTTGTCACTTATATCTTAAAGGAAAAATAAACCCCCAGGTGGGTTTATTTACCCACCTTCTCAACAAACATGAATCCTTTGCTCCTTTCAGATTGGTCTTGTCACTCAGGCTCATGAATAAGTCATTTGTATTCGTTAAACAGATAACTGATTCAGCTTACTATGATCTAGTCCCTGTTCTAGGTACTGGGTGTACATCAGTGAACCAAGCAGATAAAAATCCCTGTCTTTGTTCTTTGCTTTATCACTGTAATCACATCACTCTCCTAGAAGTTTTCATACTTTTTTTTTAAAACGAATCATCACCATGGCTCAGTTCAAGCTCACTCCTTCCGTGAGCTGTTCTTGGCAGGGATTGCTGTTGGAGGAAATGGGCCTCTGTGGGCATGGCTCCTGGCTGGGAAATTAAAAAAAAAAAAAAAAAATCAAGAGAGCAGACAACACTGGCTCCTCACAAAGCTATTTTAAGTTTGAATAGGATAATTTTGTAAGAACTATTAAAAATTTATGTAGCATTGGTACAGCTAAACTGTTCTAATACTTGAACATTTTTTCCTATTGAGTTTAATGAAGGTAAATAATTAAACTGGTGTTGGGGTCTCAAGTCCCCTGATTCTCAGATATATTTTTTCATTTCCTTATGCTGCAGTATTCAAATTCAGGTATATGTGTCCAGTTAAAGAGATCTTCTTCTCTTTTGCTATCAGCCCACTGATGTATTAAATAGATTAATAGACCCTGATGATTGAAAAGTTTGAATTTAAAGATATGCATGTAGAATAATCATTTGAATATAGTGTCCTATTTTATTATTATATTCAGGAGCTGGAATATCAAAATATACATACACATTTGTGAGCTAAGGCCTGCATAGTTTCAAATGTTTATCCAGATGTTCAGGAGTTTATGAGACTTTTTTTTTTAAAAGATTTATCTGTTTATTAGAGAGAGGGCTGGGGGGGAAGGGTAGAGGGAGATAGTCTTTTTTTAAATTAACATATAATGTATTATTTGTTTCAGGGGTACAAGTCTGTGATTCATCAGTCTTACACAGTTCACAGCGCTCACCATAGCGCATACCCTTCCCAGTGTTCATCACCCATCCACCCCATCCCTCCCACCCCCCCTCCACTCCAGCAACCCTCCATTTGTTTCCTGAGATTAGGAGTCTCTTATGGTATGTCTCCCTCTCTGGTTTCGTCTTGTTTCATTTTTCCCTCCCTTCCCCTGTGATCCTTTGTCTTGTTTCTCAAATTCCTCATATCAGTGAGATCATATGATACTTGTCTTTCTCTGATTGACTTATTTCACTTAGCATAATACCCTCTAGTTCCATCCATGTTGTTGCAAATGGCAAGATTTCGTGGGATTTTTTTTTGATGGCCACATAATATTCCATTGCATATATATACCCCATCTTCTTTATCCATTCATCTGTTGATGGACATCTAGGCTCTTTCCATAGTTTGGCTATTGTGGACATTGCTGCTATAAACATTGGGGTGCATGTGCCCCTTCGGATTACTACATTTGTATCTTTGGGGTAAATACCCAGTAGTGCAATTGCTGGGTCGTCTGGTAGCTCTATTTTCAACTTTTTGAGGAACCTCCATGCTGTTTTCCAGAGTAGCTGCACCAGCTTGCATTCCCACCAACAGTGTAGGAGGGTTCCCCTTTCTCCGCATCCTCGCCAACATCTGTCATTTCCTGACTTGTTAATTTTAGCCCTTCTGACTGGTGTGAGGTGGTATCTCATTGAGGTTTTGATTTGGATTTCCCTGATGCCGAGTGATGTTGAGTACTTTTTCATGTGTCTGTTGGCCATTTGGATGTCTTCTTTGCAGAAATGTCTGTTCATGTCTTCTGCCCATTTCTTGATTGGATTATTTGTTCTTGGGGTGTTGAGGGGAGAGAGAGAGAGTCTTAAGCAGACTCCGTGCTGCACATGGAGCCCAATGCAGAACTTGATCTCACAACTCTGAGATCAAGACCTGAGTGGAAATCAAGAGTCGGATGCTTAACCTACTGCGCCACCCAGCTCCCCAAGAGTTTATGGGGGTTTCTTAAATGATGAAGAAGGTAAGAACTGGCTGGTCGAACTTTACTGAAGAGAAGACGAGATAATTAAACAAACACAAAGGTGGGGCAGTTGTAAAATAAATCAAATTGAAACAGTAGGTTCTGTTTTCCAAAAGGTTGTATTTAAAGTGAGTAGAAAGAATCAAACTGTTTCTGTCATTCAGTCAATAATACCAGGGAACCAAATCTGTTTTCCTCTTTAGGTCATTAGCACTGGACTCACAGAGCTGTTATACCAAGCCCCTTCTGATTAGGAAGTGTTTTCAAAGATGCACATTCAGTCAGGGTCCCATTATTTGCAGGAGTGGCCTCGTGGTTTCCAGCGGGGTTCTGAGCTCCGCAACCTTGTGGAGCAGAGTTGCCATTATTTGAGCATCATCTGGCTTGTGGAGTGTTTGGATGTGGGGAAGTGGTAGGTTGGAAAGCATACTTACTAGGATTTTTAAGTTCCTTTGACTAGCCAAAAACTTCCACTTATCGGATGCTCTATTTTGTTGCATTTAAATAACTCACTGACAATTTCGAATCCAAAAATGCTGACACCTGTGTGGACACACATAGACTCCTGTCACGTGCTCATTGAGCCCCTTTTGTTGTCCTGCCTGCCTATTGCTTAGTCACAGATCTGTGATGCGCTCCTCAGTACTGATCGTGAAGTGGCTGGCCAGGGCTCTCAAACTGTCTGAGACCTTCCCCCCTGGAGAAAGAAACACTAACTGGAGAGCCTGAAAATGCGTCATTTCAGTTTGGCTTTCTGCTATCATTCGCAGAGCCTTTTCACACCTTGTCATTGTCTCCCTCTCTGTACAAGGAGGTGTAGTAGTTACTATGAGACAGCGAGTAAGTGTTCAAGATGGTTAGATCCTTGGGTGGAAGGTACACCCGGAGCTGACTCTCCAGTGTCACTGCTCACAACGCCCTCTGGGAGGGGCCTCTCTGCACTGGTTCGCTCCTGTTATCCCTGTTACCCAAGAGGGAATGCCTCTTTTCAACTAGGATTTTTTGAATATGAAATACTTCAAGAGCTTACTTTGCAGTGGTATTTATAAAATGCTGCGTACACCTGGAGAGTTGCCAAACAGTATTTTTATGGTAATGCTTTCTTAAAAACTTGTTATAAATTTAGTAATAAGAAACTCAGAAAATCCTCTAATACTACCAGATACTAATACTAAATTAGAGCCTGCTGAATTCCTCATAGTGCTTAATATGACCACATAATCTAGATATTCAAGCTTTGTTATGATGATAGATGTCAGGGATTGCATGTTACCTCAAGTCTTATTTCAGGTTCAGAAAATATGGTGATTTACCTTCAAATATACAGAAAATTGAAACAGTTCCTTCAGATAATATCCTACCTTAATTAAAACAACTAACAATGACCTTTATACTGCGAGAGCATCAATCTTCAGTTTCTAATGGGAATTAAAATGAAATCTAAGAAAGGACTTGGAAGTATTTTCTGGGAAAAAATATTTTTAGGAAAATCTGGAAAATATAGCTTTTTTTAGAAAGGTCAAGTAAATATGACCGTGTTTGCTATGCACTAATAATAATCACCTGACTTAAGAGAACTTCTTGGTGTGATACAAAGTGCTAAATAACCAGTTTGATGGAATTTACAGTTACCTGTGGTTGTTTTTAGAACCATGTGAAGAGCCTGAAATTTAATTGCAGAATATTGACCTGGGTTCACAAATTGCTGAGATGCATGATACCATTTGTCCTTATAAGTTCCAGGGTTGAATATACAAATAAAGTTTCTCATGTTGCATACAAGTCAATATTTTTGTAAAAAATTGCCTTTTGAGAGCCAAACCCCATTCAAAAGCAAACTTTTACAAAATATTAACAAGGTTATAATACCAAATTTAGACAACCAGCACTGGAAATGTGTATTATAGTTCCTAAGAGGAAACAAACTGAATTGGTTGGGGAGTGGTCTTTGATATATGGGTAGACACCCTTATCACTGTAAATAACCTCTGAGGCTATTGTAATACAGTAAAATGAGCAGCGATCAAAATGACTGTAAATCATCAATGAAAAGTCAAAGGATGTTCAGTATATTCTATTTAAGAAAACAAATAGGAAGCTTTTGGTTAAACAGTGTGGATTCAATGCTTATATTTATCTCTCTTCCCTCCCAATAACCTAGTCAAATACTAGTCAAATAATAAAAAAGGATATAAGGTGAGAGGTATTCATAAAATTTTAGGAGATAGAAAGCAAACGGATGGGGGGTAACTGTCAGGTTTGAGCTTTTCCTGTTCTGCTAAGTTCCATTAGGGAAATCCAAGAAGCAAGCCGATTGAAGATCCAGGAATTGAGGGTACATGAAAACAGAGAGGTTGGTTCAAAGTCTACGTGGAGGGCTCTTACATCCCTGATGCACTTCATAACCCATATAGCCTGGCAGCCATCCCTTCTCTACTCTGGTAGAAGAGCTCCATTTATAGAGAAAAATGGAAAGGAGGGAATTATCAGAGAAATAATAAAAGTTTCCTAGAACTGATATGTGTGCATTTTCTTAATTAAAAGTTTTGACCAAGTGCCCAGCACAGTGAATAAGCCAAGACCCACACCAAGGCATGTCTTGAGATTTCATGAAAATGGGGATGAATAAAATTCCCTAAAGTCTTCTTGAAAGAGAAAAATTATATTTTATAGAAAATATCTAACATCGGAATAGCAGCCGTTTCTCAGCTGCAATATTAGAAGCTGTGCACGATAGTGCTGAAATGCCGAGAGAAAATAATTCTAATCTAGAATTCTTTACCCACCCAAATGGTTGATCTAGTGTGAAGATAGAAAAATAAGTTTTTATATATGCAAGTTCTCACCAAATTCATCTTCCATGGTCACTTTTTCAAGAAAGTACCAGAAGATGTGTACCTTCAAAAAAGGGGAGGATGAGATCATGAATGGAGAAGATATGGGGTCTAGGATTCTGTGTAGAAGGGAGGCAGAAGAGTTCCCAGGATGACCCTAAACAGAACTCCTGGCTGGTGGCTCTGTGTCAGGCCCAGTGGGAGGTCAAAGGGGGACAAGAGGGCTGTCTCCCAGAATAAATTACATGTGACAAATTACCTGGTAGGCGTAGCCAGGATGTAGCAGTATAAATATTCCATTCAGAAATACATAGGTAAACAGCAAAAGAAATAGATAAAAGAGTTAAAAATGATTGTCATGGAGGTGAAGAGAGAGAGAGAGAGAGCATGTTCACTGGTGCGTGAGCAGGGAGAGGGGCAGAAGGAGAGGGAGAGAATCCTTGAGCAGACTCCTGGCTGAGTGCGGAGCCCATCATGGGGATCTCACGACCCTGAGATCATGACTTGAGCAGAAAATAAGAGTAGAACGCTTAGCCGACCGAGCCACACGGGCACCCCTGTGTTTTTAAAATAGGCCTTATAGTTACTACTTGACTTTGAAAACTAAGTTCATATAATACTTCTAAGAAATTTTTAAAACGAATTTTAAAAGGTAAGGAAGCAAATAATAAGATTTTATGTAGTTTTCTATCAAACACAATTATTTTTTTAAAAGATTTTATTAATGTGAGAGAGATAACAAGAGAGAGCATGAGTGGGGGGAAGAGAGGGAGAAGCAGGCTCCCTGCTCAGCAGGGAGCCCAAACCACGGCTGGATCCAGGACACTGGATCATGACCTGAGCCAAAAGCAGATGCTTAACCGACTGTCACCCAGGCGCCCCTATCAAACACAGTTATTAACAACAGCTCTGGGGTCTCCTCAGTTCGGTAGAAGACCTTATTCCATAGCAATATCTGGTAAGTAGCTACTCCCTTACATGTTTAAGAAAGGTATGTAAGTTGTACCAGTTATGTTGGTGTCTTATACCTGTTAATAGCTTTTTCTCCTTTATTAAATTCAATAACACAGCATCTTCATAGAAAAGCAGAAAAATGGCCTCGTGCCCTTTGAGATTTCATATCAACCAGGAGGATTTTGTAGGACCATCTTTGCAATTCTTTCTGGCTTATAGGAGCATCTGTAAGAGTGAATGATGACCCAGAAAGCATCGTTCATCAATGAAACCTTCCTCTGTGTTGTAGGGTGGAGAGCACTGTTACTACCACGGCAGCATCCGAGGTGTCAAGGACTCCAGGGCAGCTCTATCGACCTGCAATGGACTTCAGTACGTGCGAGTCTCATGTGGGAGAGTGAACTTGCTTTCAGCCGTGCAGTTTCCATCTTTTCTTTTCCAAACGTTTGTTGTAGGGACTCTGCTGGGCCAGTCGCACGTTAGGGACTGGATATGGAGTCATAAACAAGGAGGGCGTATTCTCCGCCGTCTTAACATTTAGAGTCTGCAGGAGATTCAGAGATTTAACAAGTGATTACAGAGATTAATATTGAATTGCCATTTTGGTAGGAACTGTGAAGGGAAGGATCAGGGACTTACAGGGTGACCAAACCTAGTCTAGAAAGGTTTCCCAAAGGTATATGCCAGAGGACATAGCAGTCAGGTGGTATTGGCCATGGGAGGATGGCAGGGTCGGGGGTGCAAAGAGAGGAGCTCATACATTGGCTTCAAGGCAGGCTCTAGAAAAACCTCTCTAAGCACCTTTTTAGACCCAAATAGTAACCCTCCATGTAAAGATCTGGTTGTGGCCATGTGATGAGAAAGGATATTGAAAATCTTATCTTCCTATATCTCTCAAAATTATATGCAACACAGAGTCATACTGCTTAATGGAAATTCACAATTGGCAGTCATAAATACGCTTCTGTTTGCTTCTTCAGAATCAGATGGTTTTAGATTATTCTAACGAGCAAAATACCTATTTTCTTATAGGTGATACTGGATTTGTGTAAGAAGAAATTTGTACTAGTTGGACATTGTCTTGGAATTATAATGTGACATACTGGAACTGTATGAATAGTCCTGTTCCAGATTCATCTTCTAATGTTTCCATTTTGTTTCAAAAATTAATTATAACATTTATAATTTATGTGCTCGTGGTATACACCTTAACACCTTTTGTAGCTTATCTCCGTCTAATACAGTGCTGAGACCACAGTGGGATTCCATACAGATATATGAATTAGGTTTAGGGCAGTATAAAGATATTTGTTTAGATACACTGTTCATTTTTAAAGATGCAATGTGAAGCTCATTTGCTGGTTCTTGCTGTTTGCTGTATTTGTTAATTTCCTCCTCATGCGATTTCTTGTCTCATAGTGGTATGTTTGAAGATAATACCTTTGTATATATGATAGAACCACTGGAGCTGATTCACGATGAGGTAAGTCTGTGACCTCAGTTTCCTTATGGTGTTTTGTTCTTTTAGCATCTTTGCCTTTGAGCCATAGAGAACATAATATGGATGTCAGTGTACATTTATATGTAGTACTGGTGTATTGAATTTAGAAATATGCAGGTTATGACCTGCTGCATTGGGAAACATAAGCCAGCTACACGGGCTCGGCAGGTGGCTCTGTCAGCATCCAAGCTCCCACGTTGGGGAAGTGAAACCCATGGTTCTTTTGATTGAAGGTGCAGTTTCAGTACACACCCACAGGGGAAGTAAAGTCACAGGATTTATTACATACAGATTCCGGAATCTGGGGTGGGGAGCAGTAAGCCAGAGGAAGGCAGTCCTCCTTCCCAGGTCACTAGTGAGCAGGAGCTAGAGAACAGGTAGCAAGCACCTGTTACTTGAAAGGTGGTTGGAGTGGAGTTCCCTAACTTTTAGTGGGCTTAATTCTTTTTTTTTTTTACTGTTATGTTAGTCACCATACATTACATCATTAGTTTTTGATGTAGCGTTCCATGATTCATTGTTTGCGTATAACACCCAGTGCTCCATGTAGTACGTGCCCTCTTTAATACCCATCACAGGGCTAACCCATCTCCCACCCTCCTCCCCTCTAAAACCCTCAGTTTGTTTCTCGGAGTCCATAGTCCCTCATGGTTCATCTCCCCCTCCGATTTCTCCCCCTTCATTTTTCCCTTCCTACTATCTTCTTCTTATTTTTTTTTTTTTAACATATAATGTATTATTTGTTTCAGAGGTATAGGTCTCTGATTCATCAGTCTTACACAATTCACAGTGCTCACCATAGCACATACCTCTCCCAGTGTCCATCACCCAGACACCCCATCCCTCCCACCCCCCACCACTGCTCCAGCAACTCTCAGTTTGTTTCCTGAGTCTCTTATGGTTTATCTCCCTCTCTGGTTTTGTCTTGTTTCATTTTTTCCTCCCTTCCCCTATGATCTTCCGTCTTGTTTCTCAAATTCCTCATATCAGTGAGATTATATGATACTTGTCTTTCTCTGATTGACTTATTTCGCTTAGCATAATACCCTCTAGTTCCATCCACATCATTGCAAATGACAAGATTTCATTTTTTTGATGGCTGCATAATATTCCACTGTGTGTGATATATATACCACATCTTCTTTATCCATTCATCTGTTGATGGACATCTGGGCTATTCCCATAGTTTGGCTGTTGTGGACATTGCTGCTGTAAACATTGGGGTGCACATATCCCTTCGGATCACTACATTTAGTGGGCTTAATTCTAAGTGGTTATTTTAAAAGATGTCCCAGGAAAAGCAAAGCGGGAACTTAGAGTGGGAATCCTAAACTCAAGTTCTTTTTTTTTTTTTTCAAATATTTTTTTTCTGATTTTTTGCAATTTCTTTTTTTTTATTATGTTCAGTTGGCCACTCTATAGTACATAATTAGTCCTCGATGCAGTGTTCAACAATTCATTAGTTAAGTATAACACCCAGTGCTCATCACAGCACGTGCCCTCCTCAATACCCATCACCCTGTTACCCCCTCCCCCCACCCACCTCCCCTATGAAACCCCCAGATTGTTTCTTGGGGTCCATAGTCTCTCATGGTTCATCTCCCTCTCTGATTTCTCCCCCTTTGGATTTCCCTCCCTTCCCCTATGGTCCTCCGTGATATTGTTTATATTCCACGTATGAGTGAAACCATATGATAATTGTCTTTCTCTGTTTGACTTACTTCACTTAACATAATCCCCTCCAGTTCCATCCATGTCAATGCACATGGTGGGTATTCATTGTTTCTGATGGCTGAGTAATATTCCATTGTGTATATGTACCACATCTTCTTTATCCATTCATCTGTTGAAGGGCATCTCTGCTCCTTCCACAGTTTGGCTATTGTGGACATTGCTGCTATGAACATTGGGGTGCACATGCCCCTTCTTTTCACTCCATCTGTATCTTTGGGGCAAATACCTAGTAGTGCAATTGCTGGGTCGTAGGGTAGCTCTATTCTTAACATCCTGAGGAACCTCCATACTGTTTTCCAGAGTGGCTGTACCAACTTGTGTTCCCACCAGCAGTGTAAGAGGGTTCTCCCTTCTCCACATCCTCACCAACATTTGTTGTTTCCTGTTTTCTTAATTTTTGCCCTAAACTCAAGTTCTCATCGAAATGTCCAGACCCTGGGTGTGAGCAGGGTTATCATGCTGTAAAATGCCTAGGCAACCGCTCAGAAAAATACAAGTTGTTTTTCTCATCACACCAGGCCACATACCAGTAAGGAATGGTAAGAGGCAACAAATCTAGGTTTTTGGAAATGAAGGCAGTTCTTTCCAGTCTATAGAGCAGAGTGGACTTTTTATTTTGTACTGACCCACTTCTTTTCCTTTAAACTAGCTTTTATTTTCACTTCTTCTTTAGATAATTGTATGCCTGTAAGCATATACTTAACTTTAATAAGAATCTTCAGTGGGAAAATTTGTAGTTGAACTATGATTATATTAGATAGCATTTAGTTTTCTTTAGAGATAGGGAAGAAAATAATGTTTAGAGTCATGCACAGGCCAGCAACCTAGATGAGAAACCATAAGGACATGATGCTAAGTGAAATAAGTCAGACAGAGGAAGACAAAAACTGTGTGATCTTGCTTATATGTGGAATCTAAAAGTACTGAACTCAGAAGCAGAGAACAGATTAGTGGTTACCAGAAGCCAGTGGGGAAAATGCGTGAAGGAGGTCACAAGGTACAAACTTCCAGGTATAAGATAAATAAATTCTGGGATGTAATGTACAACTTGGTGACTATAGTATCTTTGTATATTTGGAAGTTGCTAAGACAGTAGATCTTAAAAGTCCTCATCACAAGGAAAAAATTGTAATTGTGATGTGATGGACGTTAACTACACTTACATATTTTGCAATATATACCTATATCAGATCTTTATACTGTACACCTTAAACTTGTACAATATTACATATTATTATATCCCAATAAAATTGGACTAAAAAAGGAATCATGTACTCTACTAGTGTTGCTCACTAATAGAATGAAAACAAATCTGAAATTTGATCTGTATTCATTAGGTATTGTAATGAGGGCTTACTACATACTGGGTACTATTTTAGGTGCTGGGGATAAAGTGGTGAATAAGACAAACAGAGCTTGAGCTTTATGGAGCTTATAGTCTACAGGGGCAGACAGGGATGAATGGGATGAGTAAGTAATTACATACTGTTTGTTAGATAGCGTGCTAAAGAGAAAAAAAAATGAAGCCAAGGAGGTAGAATTATAAGGAAGAGCAAAATGAGATGGTACTTTTGAAGGGGGACTTTTAAGAAATTAGGGAGCTGGAAGAGCATTCCAGGAGAAGAGCAAATGCAAAGGCCCTGAGGCAGGAGTGTGTGTTGTAGGAACTTTGAGGGGCCCAGCTAGGTTGGACAGGAGTGGACAAAGGGGAGAGTGGTAGGAGATGAAGGCTCTGAGAAGTGGCAATAGGGAAATCAGACCAGTGAGAGGAACTGCTAAAGGGGAAAATAGTATTTTGAGAGTGATCAAGTCAGAAAGAATATTGCAATCATTTGATGGGGTGCAGAAAACTTTTTTTTTTATCTTCAGAGATTTCACCTGTAGATAAAATAAGTTTTGACCCAGGTACTAGCCATTTAGACTATTGTTCATCACAGTTGAACAAACATTTTTTGCTGTGGCAATGTACATATAAATATGGCATAAGTTTCAAATTTGAGACAGAAGTGTCATTTAACTTTAAATGTTTAATGTTTGCTTAAACCTGTATCATTTTTCAACTAGTAAGTTGAAATGAAGACAACCACCCTTAGGTAAAGTCATTTTGATTAAGTAAAATGTTTTTCCCCTACTCTAGTGGTAGGTAAATAACTTGTATACAGCAAGATTATTTGACTTGGTACACAAACAATTGACTTTGATTTCTTGTGCTGATTAATGGCCCTGTTACTCTAAAAAAAAACCCAAAGAACAAAACAAAAACCCCAAATAACGACTCCCTAAGCCTCATAGTTTTCAAATATGTAAAATAAGATGGTTTTTTTCAGTGCATCCCCAACAGGGCAGTTTTGCAGGTTTGATGAATTAAGAAATGTATGTGACTATGTTTAATAAACTGTTGAAGAAATTTATAAGTACAAACTGTTATCGTCATAGTATTTAAAGCATTGGTTTTACATTGTTATACCCATAATCAAGTTCTTCAGGGGCTGATTGTTCCATGCCTACTCCCTTTTCTCTTTTGCTTTCTTCCTTACTCCCTACCTTTTGTTCATGTAACTATCTGTCTTCATCTTCACCATGGGGAGAGGGAAAGGAACAGTGCTTGAAACTTTAGTCGGCTTTTAAAATTGTGTTTCTAATCCAGTTGTGAGTTTCATTGCTCTGAGTATCATTTCACCTGTTACCAGGATTAAGAATTTACTGAACTTGAATTTAGATTTGTTGATGTTTAGCTTATTATTACTGGTTTTAGTATGCTTTACAGTAAGTCAAGTAATGTGGATGGGATATTTCTAATAAGAATTCATGTTATCTCTCAAGCAGTGAATAGCAAAACTCTTAATTATTGTGAGTCTCATCTGTAATCTATTAAGGACACTTTTTTAATAACTAGTTTTCTGCTTATGAAACTAATACAGGAAATTTGGAAAAGTAAAGTAAGCAAATACTTAACTACATTGTAATTTTCCGTGATCCCATCCTGGAGAGAGAACTTCTCTTCACCTTTCAGTATACATTCTTCCAGTTTTTCAATGATATGTTCTTATATATTTTTAAAATAAATTGAATCATTATTCTGTAATAGAATTTTGGCTCAATGATGGATCTCTCTGAGTTGCAGTATTTTTATTTGTAAAATAAAGATAAAATATGCGTTATATAGAGTTCTTGTGAGGATTAAATCAGGTAATGTGTACATTAACAGTGTCTGGCACATAGTATGTGCTCAGTAATGGAAGCTGATAGTAAATAATAGGAATGGAAATAAGATGTTTCTAGAAGTGTAGTTTCTAGGGCAAAGGATATAAATATTTTCAAGGTCATTGATAGACATTGCTAAATTTCTCTTTGAACTATGCTCCCAATTTATTCCTATCAGCAGAGTATGGGAGAGTGTTTTTTACCTTGAAACCATAATTAACTATGGTTATCATAATTTTAAAACCTTTGCCAACTGGATGGAAAAATTGGTATATCTTTTTTTTTAATTTGCATTTTGAAGGAGTATTAAAGCATTCATCATTTTTTTATATGTTCATTGACCGTTTATGTTTCTTTCTTGTGAATTTCCTATTCATGGCTTTGAAGAAAGCTAAGGTTTCAGAGTAGCTAATAAAACTATGCTTTTATCTACACTGGAGCAATTGAATGGTGCTCTATTTTTTAAAAAATTAAAGTTTCAGTAAGACATACTTTTCATTTTGATAGCTAAAACATTAGCATATAAATGTTCCCATTTTAAGAAGGATATTGGAGAAAGTTCTAACACTCTTCCGTAGAAGCTTGATCACATCTTGCTTTTTAATGGTCCGCAATTGTTTTTGTTTCAGAAAAGCACAGGTCGACCACATATAATCCAGAAAACGTTGGCAGGACAATATTCTAAGCAAATGAAGAATCTCAGTAAGTTCTAATTAAGATGGCCATTTTATTTTATGTAATAGGAGCCGTGCCTTGGGGGAACTCAGTGCGCATGCAGGAAGTAAAATTGCTCTGCAGTGAGCTGTGTGGGTGGGCAGTGGCATGAACTGTGGCTGGTGTGGAATGAGGCCTGGAGAGTCGTTGCCGATGGAAATACTGAAAGAAGAAGCCCAGGAGTAAACCTCTGTTAGAAGCAGACAGTGTGGCTAAATTTAATGGTGATTTGCAATGAGGCTCATCCTTAAATTTCTCTGACAGTTTACTGCTTTTTAGACAATTTGTATTGTCTCACTCTTATGTTCTGGTCCCGAGGTATCCTAAGCACACTGATGTTGACAAAAGCTTCTTTTGGATTATTGGGATATGTGATATTGCTTCTGTATATTAATGCCAAAAGTCTTCAATAATTTATGCAAAGTCTTATGCCATACATTATTTTTAAATCTAAAATGAATTAAGCACAGTGAAATTCTCTTAAATTTTCAGATATCGAGGGTCAGGTGGTTGTAGGTCAAATATGCATATTCTAATGAATCTTGAATATCTCATTACATTTTTGATGATGTTTGGAAGAAAATAATATTTGAATTATAAATTATAATTTGTGCATTACAAATAGAATTAGATTTGTGACCATGAGACTGTGAAAGGTTTAGTGATCAGCGTACCGTTTTCACCTTAGTTTATTTTGATTTTGAGATGATGTATGCTATCAATGTTGCTGTTTCTTCACATAATACTTTTATTTTATTTTATTTTTTGCATCATGATAAGTATACTCTTTAATTCCCATCACCTATCTTACGCATCCCCCTCTCCCCCCCGCCCCCCATTACGGTAGACATCAGTTTGTTCACTATAGTTAAGAGTTTTCCTGGTTTGTCTCTTTTTTTTTTTTCCTTTACTCATTTGTTTTGTTTCTTAAATTCCACTTAGGAGTGATATCACATGGTTTTTGTTTTTCTCTGACTGACTTATTTCGCTTAGCATTATACTCTCTAGCTCCTTCTCTGTTGTTGCAAATCGCAAGATTTCATTCTTTTTTATGGCTGAGTAATATTACTGGTGTGTGTGTGTGTGTGTGTGTGTACCACATCTTCTTTAACCTTTCATCTATTGATAGACATTTGGGCTGCTTCCATAGTTTGGCTATTGTAAATAATGCTGCAATAAACACAGCGGTGTATGTATCCCTTTGAATTAGCATTTTTGTATTTTTTTGGTAAATACCTAGTAGTACAATTGCTGGATTGTAGGGTAGCTCTATTTTTAACTGTTTGAGGAACCTCCATACTGTTTTCCAGAGGGGCTGCACCAGCTTACATTCCCACCAATAGTGTAGGAGGGTTCCTTTTTCTCCACGGTCTCACCAACACTTGTGGTTTCTTGTGTTTTTGATTTTGTCCATTCTGACAGATGTGAGGTGATAGTTTTGATTTGCATTTCCCTGATGATGAGTGATATTGATCATCTTTTCATGTGTCTCTTGGGCATCTGGGTATCTTCTTTGGAGAAATATGTGTTCATATCTTTTGTCCTTTTCTTATAATCTTTTTTTTAGAAAGAGAGAGTGCATGTACAGCAGAGGAGGGGCAGTGGGAGAGGGAGAGAGAATCCCAAGCCGGCTCCACGCCCAGCATACAGCCCAATGAGGGCTCAATCCCACAACCCCGAGATCATGAGCTGAGCCCAAATCAAGAGCTGGATGCCTAACTGACTGAGCCACCCAGGCGTCCCTCTTCTGTCCATTTTTTAATTGGATTATTTGGTTTTGGGGTATTGAGTTGTATCCGTTTTTTATACATTTTGGATACTAGCCCTTTATCGGATATGTCATTTGTAAATATTTTCCCCCATTCAGTAGGTTGCCTTTTAGTTTTGGTGAATGTTTCCTTTGCTGTGCAAAAACATTTTATTTTGAGATAGTCCCCATAGTTTATTTTTGCTTTTGTTTCCCTTGCCTCAGGAGACATATCCAGAAAAATGTTGCTATGGCTGATGTCAGAGAAATTAGTGCCTGTGCTCTCTTCAAGGATTTTTATGGTTTTAGGCCTCACATTTAGGTCTGTAATCCATTTTGAGTTTATTTTTGTGTGTGGTGCAAAGACAGTGGTCCAGTTTCATTCTTTTGCACAAAGCTGTTGTTGAAGAGATTGTCTTTTTCCATTTTATATTCATTCCTCTTTTGTTGAAGATTAATTCACCATATAATTGTGGGTTTATTTCTGGGTTTTCTATTCTATTCCGTTGATCTGTGTGTCTGTTTTTGTGCCAGAACATACTGTTTTAATCACTACCGCTTTGTAATATAACTTGAAGTCTGGAATTGTGATACCTTGAGTTTTGTTTTTCTTTTTCGGGATTGCTTTGGCTATTTGAGGTCTTTTGTGGCTCCATACAAATTTTAGGATTGGTTGTTTCTAGTTCTGTGGAAAATGCTTTGGTATTTTGATAGGGATTGCAGTAAGTCTGTAGATTACTTTGGGTAGTGTAGACATTTTAACAATACATGTTCTTCCAGTCCACGAGCGTGGATTGTCTTTCCATTTCTTTGTGTTATCTTCAATTTCTTTCATCAGTGTTTTATAGTTTTCAGAGTACAGGTCTCTCACCTCTTTGGTTAAGTTTATTCCTAGATATTTTATTGTTTTTGGTGCAATTGTAAATGGGATTATTTTCTTAATTTCACTTTCTGCTGCTTCATTATTAGTGTATAGAAGTGCAACAGATTCCTGTACATTGATTGTGTATCCTGCGACTTTACTGAATTCATTTGTCAGTTCTAGTAGTTTTTTGGTGGAGTCTTTCAGGTTTTCTGTATACAGTATCATGTCATCTGCAGATAGTGAGAGTTTTCCTACTTCCCTACCAAGATGGATGCCTTTTATTTCTTTTTGTTGTCTGATGGCTGTGGCTAGGACTTGCTGTACTATATTGAATAAAAGTGGTGAGAGTGGACATGCTTGTCTTGTTCCTGACCTTAGGGGAGAAGTTCTCAGTGTTTCCCTCTTGAGTATGATGTTGGCTGTGGGTTTTTCATAAAGGCTTTTATTATGTTGAAGTATGTTCCCTTTAGCCGTACTTTGCAGAGGACTTTTCTCATGAGTGGATGTTGTACTTTGTCTAATGCTTTTTCTGCATCTATTGAAGTGATCATATGGTTTTTATCTTTTCTCTTATTGATGTGATATATCTTGTTGATTGTTTTGTGAATATCGAACCACACTGGTGTCCTGGAAAGAAATCCCACTTGATTGTGGTGTATGTTTTTTTTTTTTTTTTTTTTAATGTATCATTGGATTCAGTTTGCTAATATTTTACTTGGGGATTTTTGCATCTATGTTCATCGGGAATATTGGTCTGTAGTTCTTTGTTGTGGTGTCTTTATTTGCTTTTAGAATCAGGGTGATACTGGCCTCATAGAATAAATTTGGAAGTTTTCCTTCCGATTCTATTTTTTTTTAAAGAGTTTGAGAAGAATAGGTATTACCTCTTCTTTAAATGTTTGGTAGAATTCAGCTGAGAAGCCATCTGGTCCTGGACTTTAATTTTGGGCGAGTTTTTTGATTTCTGATTAAATTTCAATGCTGGTAATTGGTCTGTTCAAATTTTCTATTTCTTCCTGCTTTAGTTTTGGTACTTCCACGTATTTTAAAAACATACTCCGATTGAACTGCAGTCAAGTATAAACTTTTGTACTCCTTTTTCTTTTACACAGGTATGGAAAGCAGTGACCAGTGGCCCTTTCTGTCTGAATTACAATGGTTGAAAAGGAGAAGGAAGAGAGCAGTGAATGTGAGTGTGGCATTGAAGCGTAGGTGGGGCCACTTCACTCAGTTAAATTGTGTGCCTGAAATCACGTAGTATCTGAGTATATATGAAGCAGTTGAGATTTGAGCAATATCCTCTCACAAACCAAAACAACAAACCAAACTCCTCCTATGGTTTGCGTCTTATAGGCATATTGCTTTTTATTCAGCTTTTTCTATTTGATGTACACTGGTTACAGTGTCCTATGAACCCTGATGGCATATAAGAAATGTATTATTTTAGCTTCATTTTCAAAGCATTTTCTTATGAAAAGTACAGTGCATTTTTTTCTATTAAAAGTACAGCAGACTTTTTTTTATATGGCTTATATAACATTATGAAGCATTTTTGTTCACCAAAAAAGTAAGGGGTAGTATTAGGTTTTGAAATGTTGGCTAATGATGCCTATTTGTAGCTCTTTCAAATTGAAAGCTCTGTTGTACCAAATTTGAAGCTGGATATGTTTTCTTGAGGATCTATTTGACCATTGGTGTCATGACAGTTACCAAATAAGAATCATGTAATTATATAATCAACAACTGTAGGATAGCTCCCATGTATTGATAAATGTATAGGAGCTTTGTAACTGAAATTATGTTCCTAGTCTTTTTCATAATAGATTAGAAAGCTTGTAATGATGGGGACTGTTTCGTAATTACATGGTGAATACTATGTAACTGAGAATTAATTCCACAGCATATAGATTACATGGTAATTTACTAGATAACTTAATGAGTAATTATACTGAAAATTGCACATTTTAGATAATGTTTTGCTGAATGTATTTTTTTGTGAAAAAATTAGACCACCAGTCATCAGAAACTTAGTTACAGGTTAAATCATCCTCTCTTTTATGAGCCTGTCTTCATGTTATGGTGATTATAGATACAAATTTTGTTTTTTTGCTTAGAGTTTTTTTTTCTTACTCTTGAAGATGTGGTTGGTAATAATAAGTTTTATATAGGCTACTGACATTTCACTACAGTCCACCCCTATCAAATATAAACTGATCAATGACCTTGTACGTAAAGAAAAAAAGAGTTACCATTATTGGTTTTCAACTATGAAAAAAGAAAGCCCAAATGATAAAATGCTTAACACTTGCTCTTAAAATTATCTAGGAATAATAAAAATTTAGAAGCATTTAAAAAATAGTAATTATCAATGTTTGTTCCTTTGAGAAGTTGTGTGGTTAAGATTTAGTACATTATTATTAAAATTTCACTCCAGTGACTTAATGTTTCTTTTGACTATATTGATAACTGTTTTCCACATATACTGTGCTGTTCTTATTAAATGAGCTTTAAGTAGATTTCCTTTGAAGTTTCAAGTAGATAAGAATCTTTTTTTACCACATTTTAATGCCAAAGAAATTGAGATTTATTTATTTTAGCAGAATTATACTGTACACATTTCTCTAGGATATTTTTACATATGAAAATCATATAAAAATAACATGGGCTGGGGGTGCCTGGCTGACTCGGTTGGTGGAGCATGCGACTCTTGATCTTGGAGTCATGAGTTCGAGCCCCATATTGGGAGTAGAGATTACTTTAAAAAAATCTTAAAAAAAAAAAAACACAGGCTTTTCTCTATCTTGATGAGTATTTTTTTAAAAGATTTTATTTATTTATTTGACAGAGAGAGAGAGACAGTGAGAGAGGGAACACAAGCAGTGGGAATGGGAGAGGCGGAAGCAGACTTCCTGCTGAACAGGGAGCCCAATGCGGGCTCGATCCCAGGACCTTGGGATCATGACCTGAGCTGAAGGCAGACGCTTAACAACTGAGCCACCAGGTGCCCCTATTTTAATGATAATTAAATACAGTTCTTTTCTGAACACTTGAATGTTTATCCTGACTTTACAGTCGCTGTCTTCGATTTTGCTTACCAAGTTTGTTCCAGGGTGTTTTTTTTATAAAGTAGGCAGCAAAGCCTTCTTTTTGAAATTCAAAGTCAATCTACAAGTTAATAGTCAGCATCAGAGATATATCCACCACCATTCTGACTATATTTTTATTTTCCACAGCCATCTCGTGGTGTGTTTGAAGAAATGAAATATTTGGAACTTATGATTGTTAATGATCACAAAACGGTAAGAATATAAAGAATCAGTAAGTTTTAGGCCTGGCAGCTTGCTTAAGAAAGAATACATTTCACTTTATATTGAATCATTATTTCTTACTTATTAGGGCCAATGTATTTAGATGCTTTATTTCTTTGGAACTATTGAATGACTTGATTTATTTCATGGTGTTTGGAAACACTGGGCTTTATAGAATTTTCACAACTCTAATAAATAGATGAATATTTAGTGGTTATGATGAATGGATTTAACTATTTGTTTGACATCTTTTACATACCTTCATTTAAAATTCTTATTCTCTACTTTTCTTCTTCTATGTATTTGGCCACTACTTTCTAATTTTATTCCATATCTTTGTTCTGAGAACATTTTTTTCTTACTAATTATTATGACTTGTGGCAAATGTAATTATAGGAAGTGAAGATGTATAATAAAGGCATATCCAAAGAGACAATCTTTGATGATTTATCTTCTTTAAATTTTGGAAAGATGAGTAATATTGTGCTACTTATGTCAAAGTACAGTGTGATTTAATGTGTCATCTCATTAACACTTAAAAGACATGGAAAATAATTTTTGCCTCCACGGCTGTTCTTGAAAATAGAGTGGAAATTTTCTTTTTTTAAAGGTTTCATTTATTTATTTGAGAGAGAAAAAGCAAGCATGAGCCAGGGAGAGGGGCAGAAGGAGAAGGAGAAGCAGGCTCCCTGCTTAGCAGGGAGCCCTACTAAAGGCTGGCCCCGGGGATCATGACCAGAGCTGAAGGCAGATGCTTAAGCGACTGAGCCACCCAGGCACCCCAAGTAGAAACTTTCTTAACCATGTTTTACTTAATCGTGTCCCTTGTAAAACAGGTTGGCTGAAGCCTAGAGCTTTCTAAAGAGTCTTGTCCAGTAGGGTGTTTGCTAGTATAACCAACACTTGGGGTATGCTTAAATGTTTAACACCTAGCTCTCTGGGAAAAAAAGCCTTGATTTATAATGGTTACTGATACCTGTGATGTAAATACTCCCACCATGGCTGATTTCAGGCTACTGGAGTGAGCTCACTAAATGAGGAGCTGGGAAAAGTTGCATCCAGTTCGCTCTTGTGAACTGTTGGGAGCTGGCTCCAGCACCCCTTTGCTGCACCTCCCAGACTGTGTAGGCTCGTTGTACTTCTTGTTGTAACTATATAATTTAATTTAAGAAATTGTATAAACTAAGACAAAGAGTAGTTGTTTTTATGAAAACTGAGTTATATTTCTGGAAAGATGAGAATATTTCAAGAAATACTTAAAAGTCAGGTATGGGTGACAAACTTGTAAAAGATTGCAACAAAAATTCAGATTGCTTTGCATATATCATTAAGTCCTTGTTTTACTTTAAGGAGGCCAAATTAGATTAGTAGACGATAGGGTAAAATGATAGTGTGAAATTCTATTAGTAGACCCTACTCGAGAAAAAGCCTTGAAACCATAAATTTAAAAATATGGTGACTTATTTTTAAACTTGTATTTGACTCTCTACATTAGCAGACATTTTTTACTAATTGCCAAGTACTGGTTCAGTTATGTTGAGTATTATTCAGTGGAATACCTGTTAATTATATATGCAGATTTATTTTATTTACCAGTAGCTTTTAAATATATTGCTTGATATGTTAGAAGAAGCAGAGGCGAGATCCTCTCTGGTCGGAAGGAAAACCAAATGTGTAGACAGCCATTTTAGATAATGAAGGCTAAACTAAGAGTTTCAGAAGGACATTAATTTGCTTGAAACCCCAAGATAATTTTTCATCTGACTATTTTTGTTGACTGGGACATTGAAATTTTTTGTAGGTACTTCTCAGTCCTTAGCGTTGTGGCATGAAACTATGGCGTTAGACATTTCCGCTTTTTCTAATATCCATTATGCAAATACTTTTAAAGTAGTGGAAGGAATAATTGTGATACATGCAATGCCTCTAAATTCACAAGGTATATTCACAGAGAGCTGGGAATGAATAGAACCCTTCTCCAACCCATGACTTTTATCTCCACATCTCCTGTTGCACCATAATCTAAAACTATCATCAATCAGAGTAGGTATCGGCAACTGTATAAATAGGAAACAATAATTTTAAAAAAATATTATATACTTTGAATTAATATTTTAATCCTTTTAAATGGAAGCATTTAAATAATCTTGTCTTTATCTTATGAATATAAAACAGCACCCTCCCATTTAAAATATCATTTTCATATATGGAAATTTTCTGCACTTTATACCATATATTCTGTGATAAAGTTACCTTCTTTATGCTACCAAATTTGTTAATGGTAAACCTTGGTAATTATTTTATTATTATTGTTATTAAAATTGAGAGAGAACTAGTCATGATATGTTCATCTATCTTTGAAACTAGAATAAAAGAATTGTAATTTTCACTGATAAACTTGGAAGGAATACATAGTAAGAAATTAAATAAAAAGAAAGCTTTATTTTTGAGTAGTAACAATACCTAAAGTAGAAAGAAATTACCTAAGTGATTTCTACTCTTTAAATAAACATTACATCTGGGCCAATAGGACAGAATATTCCTTTTGCTTTGAGACCAGGTTACATCCTAGTCCCACATAAGTGTGTCATTTTATAAGGATTTTTTTTCTTTGGAGAGGTGAGAAAAAAGTTTTTTTAAGGTATGCTTTATATGAAATGAAGAAAATGAAGATTGTTTTTGAATTTGATTGCCACAAAGAAGTAGTAAATCAGAACATGGGTCGGAGTCCTGAAATTCACATTTTGAAGGTAAAACTGAACTAGAATAATTAACATCTGTTTTTTTAATACCTGGAGTTTTACTGTTGGCTTTTAGAATGATCATCCTTGAAATGACTCATCATCATACAATCTTTGTGCTAGATGAGGCAACACAGTTGTTTTGATAACTGTCACCCTCAGATTGAAAATCAAGCTCTAATTTTAATTTTTTTCAAAAAGCAAATTTCTTTAAGGGTTGTAATTGTTCAGGAAGGAAAAATAAATTTGGCACTTTAAATGTAAATTAGTTTCAGTGATCACAAAAGGTGAAAGTCAGTTTTATCATAAATGGAGATTGCACATTTTTCTTTGTATGCAAAATTATTTCTCATTCATGCAGGAAATAGAAACATTTGCCTACATTCACATTCAAGCTAATCTCTTTAATTCAGAGTAACCTAATATTGGCTTCCTGAAAAAAGGCAGACACCTTATTTTGAACAAGCATCATGTTATCGGTGGCTTTCAATTAGGAAAGGAAAATCCCTCAATTTTGTAGAAAGCATCTTGATAGCTAGGTGGTGGGACCTAATTTGTAAGCCAATTATAGCCTTGATAAGGGTCTACAAACATTTCTTTGAGCCACTTGAGCTAAATATAAATATGAAAAGCCTTATTCTAATAGAAAATTGGTTGAAATATTTTAAAGTGCACGAAAAATGTTTTGCTTACATTTTTGCTGTATCCATACATATAAGTCCGAGTGCAAGTGTGTTATAGCTCACATATTTCTCAATTTAAACCTCAATTTGAACCCTATTTGAAAACCACTATACTTTATGGGCACATTAACAAATTACGAGTTCTCATCAAGAACTGTGATTTCTTGGGAATATACATTAACTGTTTTATCATAATTGTTCACTGAAAAAGTTTATCTCCTATCTCAACCCAGAGTAGACATTGAATTCCAGCTGTGTGACCTTGGATAAATTCTTTGTCCTCTCTGAACCTCACTGTCCACATTTCTAAAATGGTCTAATAAAACCCACCTCATAGAGTTGTGAGGAGCAAATACTTGTTGAGAAACACTTATAGATCCTGGTAAACCCTAGCTGCTCAATTAAGTGGGACTTCCAGTGAACAAATCGCGTGGGTACCCTAGCGGTCCTCTTTCGTGCTCTCAGCCGCAGTGGACACGGTTGATTATGCTCTCCTCCGTGAAACATTTTCTTCCTCTTTCAGCTTCTGTTGACACAACAGCTCTCCCAATTTACTGGCCCTTCCTTCTTAGTCTTTTGCATCTGGACTCTAGGATTATGGGAGTGCTCATAGCTTGGTTTTGGGCTCTCTTTTCTCTCTATAACTCTTCCAATGTGAACACTTCCAGTCTCAATCTTTAAATAATATCATGACTTTAGGGGCGCCTGGGTGGCTCAGTCAGTTGAGCATCCAACTCTTGGTTTCAGCTCAGGTCATGATGTCAGGGTCGTGAGATGGAGCCCCACATTGGGCTCCGAGCTCCGCAGGGAGTCTGATGGAGATTTTCTCTTTCCCTCGGCCTCTGCCCCTCCCCCCTCAAAATAAATAAATAAAATCTTAAAAAATATATATCTTGACTTTAAATTCATCACTCTCTACTTTATGCCTCTAGCCTCCTGAGTCCATACTTATATATCAACTGTCTACTTGCATGCCAGCTTCAGTATTGAATAGGCATCTCTTAAATTTCTAAATCAGCACTCTTGATCCCTGAGTCCTAAGCTTCTCTTCACCTAGTCTTTCTCATTATTTTAAATGTCACCTCTATTCCCCCAGCTATTCAAATTCAAGACCTGGGAGTCATCCTTTATTCTTCTCTATCCTCACTTTCCACATCCTATACTTCAGTAAGTCCTGGGAAGCCTACCTTCATAGTGTGTCCACCCACTTCTCTCTGCAGATGTCCAGCCTTCATTATCTTTTACTTGGACTCTTGCTTCCATGCTTGACCCTTTCTAATTCACTTACCCCACAGCAGAGAGAGCTTTCTATAAAGGAAATCAGAGACATGGAGATTAAAAATAGGAAATAAGTGAAAAACATCGCAACATCAAAAAAGACCTCATTAATTTTTTAACTTGCATGTCATATTTTCCCATGATCATTATGCTACAAAAAGAAGTCTCCAAAATGGACAAATTAATGTTCAGAAGCAAAATAAAGTTAATTGTCATAGGTATATAACACCACTGCCTTAGAATAGGTGTCAGTTAATATTTTTCATTTCTTTTTGTAGTATGTGCTTCTTAATGTCAAGACTTTTAATATTTTCATCACCCCAAAGGAACTTAATGCTGAGGCTTTTGCTTTTACTTTAAAAAATATCTTTGAAATTTTTTAGCGTGTGGAATTTGCTGGACAACTTAAAATGCTTAGCTATTTACAGCAACTTCTTTATGCCAGGTTTGAAAACCCTGTTAAAGTGCCTTAAGATTCTTAGATCAATATGATGTTTTTGGCCCAGTTACATGCACAGATTGATGTTTACTCTTAAAGAACACATGGAGACAGTTTGGGTCAGATTATGACGCATGGTGGCAGCAGTAACATCAAGTCTGAGTCCATTCTGAGTCCAAGTCCATTCAGGCTGATCTAACAAAACACCGCAGACTGGGTGGCTTATCAATAACAGAAATTTATTTCTCACCATTCTAGGGGCTGAGAAGCCCAAGATCATGGTGCCAGCAGGTGGTGAGGACCTGCTTCCCAATTCATAGGTAGCACCTCGCTCTGTCCCCACTTCCTCTGGTGCAAGGGGCAAGGGGCAAGGGAGCTCTCTGGAGCTTCCTTTGAGGCACTAATCCCATTCATTAGCGTTCTGCCTCATGACCAAAGCATCTTCCAAAGGCCCTACCTCCTAATACCATCATTTTGGGAGTTAGGATTTCAACATATGAATTTGGGGGGATATAAACATTCACATCATAGTTAAGTGTTATAAATGCAAAATGGTAATAAATTAGTGAATGCTACCAATAGCACAGTACTGATTTATTGCACATTTGTCATGGGTTGTCATGAGTCGTATAAAGTATCATAAAAAATAAATATCAGGTATGTAAGCATGAAGACATATATTCTTTGTTTAAAAAAAAAGTAATACCAGGGGGCGCCTGGGTGGCTCAGTCGGTTAAGCGACTGCCTTCGGCTCAGGTCATGATCCCCGGGTCCTGGGATCGAGTCCCACACTGCTCAGCAGGAAGCCTGCTTCTCCCTCTCCCTCTGCCTGCCACTCCCCCTGCTTGTGCTCTCTATCTCTCTGACAAATAAATAAATAAAAAATCTTAAAAAAAAAAAAAGTAATACCAGGGTAGAGAGAGAATGAAATGAAGAATGCCTGACAAATTTATAGTATAAAAGTGGGCAGAGGAGGAAAAAAAAAGAATTTCATGGATTTCCAGAGTAGAACCATTTTTAATCTTTATGAAAGATATGTTATGATTAAAGACAGATTTTAAAGATTTATGGTGCAAATCTGATTCAGTAGTTTTGAGTATGTTTTCCTTTTTCCTCAGTAGAGGGCGTGATCCCCCTGTGGTAGACTCCAGTTTTCAAATGTCCTCTCAAAGACATACTGTGCAGTGTTCTTTGCTAAAACTGTAGCCCTCCAGATGTTATAATGGAATTATTCTATTATTTTTACTTATTTTCTTAAATAATCATAAATAACCATAAACAATCTTAAACTATCCACGCACTTCATTTTTACTTTTTGTCCCTCCTTTGTTCTGAATTGGAACAGTCAAAAGCCAAGCTTCGTTTCGAGGAGGCATTCTTCTGAAAGAATATACTAAAATGTATAAAAAATGCATTCTATATCATGGCCAGTATCTAAAGTGCTGCCTAAGAAATTTTCTTGACCAGTGTCTGGTCTTGAGTTTAAAGGGAGAAGGGTGTCCGGTTGGGACTAAATTTCTTGGCTAAGCCCTTCGTAAACTGTAATGGTTGTTTCGGTGAACACAAGAAGATTGCATTTGTAGACATTAAGACTGAATGAACTACTCATTTATCGGGTGTAAAGCTTCTCACACAGATTTCTACAGGTTCTGTCCATACTTGGAACTGGTACAGGTGTTTTAGATGGAGTTTTCCTGCCTCATAGAGAAATCAAAAAACACCACTATATCCAACATGGTGCAAGCGGAATTGTCTATTTTTAATCCCTATTTGTACTATTACTGTGAAATGTCTGCTTTTACTGAAGTTTGAAATTTGCCATTAAATGATGATTTGGCAGTGACTGGTTTATCCTTCTCCCCCCCCGCCAGTATAAGAAATACCGCTCTTCTCATGCACACACCAATAACTTTGCAAAGTCCGTGGTCAACCTTGTGGATTCTGTAAGTATCCAGTTTTCTTGAACCTATTTTCCCAAGACGGGATGGTTTAATGAAAAACACCATCCTTAAGCTCATCTGGCTAAGAAATTTCCATATATTTGCCTGATAAACATATATGGTCTGTTTCCATGAAAAGTAGTGTTATTAGAGTTTTGGGGGCAGTTGGGTCATTCTCGGTATCCCAAAGATGCATTAGTGTTGCTTCTAAGTGTTGTCTAGACCTCTTTGTCACCCAGCCTAGAAGGACAAAAACACTAGGGAAAATTAACTGCTAAAAAGAGTGTAAATTACACTTGGCAAATGAGACTTTGTTAATGATGACCAGTTGAGCTTATTGTCTTAAATATATTGCAAGAGAGCTAATTGATTGAGGTGGAGTATGTTTTTTTTTTTTTAAGAACTCACATTTATTTCCTAAGTAGTGAATGCTTCAGATTTTATTTCTAGATGACAGAATTAAGTGCAGTCCCCCAAATAAAATTAATTTGAAACAGTAAGATATATATCTCCTTACAAAGACTTCTAGCTCTATAAATCGTTCATATTGATATTTTTTTCCCTCTCATTTTGTAAGTTACAGTGAATAATGGTTAAGATTTTCTTCCTTTTTCCTGATTTAGGTAGAATTACATAAATGTGAATATTATTTGTTATGTTCCAATAAATAGTTCAGTTTGGCTAGTCATAGATTAAACATAGCATACTACTTTGTTTTCTAATGTCAAGTGCTATTTTGTTCAGTTAAATCTATTTTTATCTGATATTTATGGTATGTTCCCTCTTAACTGGGAAAAAAAACTTTTTATGAATTGCCAACTGTCTAAATGATACTTATTTCCTCCAAAGAACTGCCTTTGAAACAGTCCCCAAACCTTTCATCACGTAAATACTCACAATATATAATACCTGTAGGCACAGCTGAGTAATGGTATAATACAGGTGGATGGGCAGAGTATGCCATATAGAGTTAGGCCTGAAATTCTGAAAGCCAGTTTACACCTGGTTTCTTAATCTTCTGTAATTTTAGCTCTTGTCAGCAGTCTTCTCAGAAGAAGACTATAAGTGAATATGGAAAAGAGAAATTGCCAAAGCTGTTGACTTGGTAGCATCTCTGTGTTGGTCATTCCACCATGATTGAATAGAACCACATCTTGCAAAGTGGAATTGGGTTCTGAAGCTGGCTAACTAATTTTTAAAAGACATTACATTTAACTCGCTTGTTATAAAATCATTATAGCTTCGGGTTGATTTAGGCATGATGATATTCCTTTTCTTCAGTGTGTTCAAAGATCACCCATTATTTTCTTAATTAGCTTGAAAATAGGACAAAATGACAGCCGTCTTTGAAATTGCTTAATTGTGTGAATTGTTTGGCATCTGGGCCAAAAGTCAAGAAAGATACAGTTTAAATACTGGGAGTGAGGCCACCCTATGGTGAGGGGCAAGTGAGTATATGAATCTGTTTTTCCTTCTTTTGGCCCAGATCTAGGATTCCCTCCCAGTGTTCTTTTACGTGTCATGGCGCTGGGCCTCCAAGGACAAGTCAGCCATGTTGTTGGGCACTGGCCCAAGGACTTAGTGATCTGTTTCAGTCCTGCAGGGCTGACTGGTCGCACTGCACTACGAGCCAGTAGGTCAGGCTCCAGCCACTCTTTGGGAGAGTGATTTTACTGAACACTGTTTTGAATTTATGTCCAGACTTGAGAATCTTGACATACCTCCTGTCCATCCCCTAGTGAGATGCCTGGCTAATAAATGTGCTGATCTGGGATTGAAATAGTCTTGTAGGAGAGGCTGAATTGTGTGATTGTTCTTTCTTTCTTTATTTTTGTTCTTGGAAATGAGAAAGGAAAGAAGATTCTTTATAATGAGCTAATTGTGACCTCGTGTTCTCCTCTCACCTCCCCCTCGTGTCCTTCCACTGACTCGGAATCACTGATTGCGCATGTCTGACCCAGTGTTTTCCTCCTGCCCCTGTCCTGTTGTATACCCTCAGATTTACAAGGAGCAGCTCAATACCAGGGTTGTCCTGGTGGCTGTAGAGACCTGGACTGAGAAGGATCATATTGACATCACCACCAACCCTGTGCAGATGCTCCACGAGTTCTCCAAATACCGGCAGCGTATCAAACAGCATGCCGATGCTGTGCACCTCATCTCGTATGTACCTGCGGTCTTTGATCTTTATCCCCTTATTTTATCCATTGAGTTATATGTCAGTGTACTGATCTTGAATTGATTCTTCTCTCTGGTTATGTAAGTAGCAGGGAGGTAAGTTGTCTGGTGCTGGGATGGTGGTTCCATGGTCATAAGACTTACCTTCAGAGCACGTTCTTACTTTCACACTTTCCATCCTCCAGGTCAACTCATGATTCAGGGTGGCTGCTGGTGCACCAGCCTTTATTACAGGCACCAGGAATATAGTCATGGAGGAGTTCAAAAGAGCCCTCCTTCCAGCTGAGTTAGCTCCTTTAAAGCAGATTTCCTGAAAGCTTTCACATATCCATTTTACCAACAAATCATTTCCTGGCTCTTAATCACATGCCACCCATAGAGAGGGTTGCAAGAGAGGCCAGGAAATATAGTCTTTAGAGGTGAACCATTGAATAAAATTGAGATTTTATTGTTGAGGAAAAGGATGACCATACGGTCTTTCAATATAATAGGTGGTTTCCTTCTCCATTCATGGCAAAGCTGTTTTCAGACAGTCCTCCAAGGTTCTGTCCTGGAATCAGACCCACCAGATTCCTCTTTCCTTGCCTCTCACCTTAGCTCTTTACTTCCTTTTCTCTCAGTCTATAATCAGCAATGTATAATAATTTATAATAATCGGTCAGTGCTTAGTAGGTGCTCGATTAATGTTTGTTCAACTGAGATTGTTTCACACAACATAAATTTAAAGGTATTTATGACAACATAAGTCTGAAGGTATTTTTTTTTTAAGTCTAAAGGTATTTAAAATGTTTTTGATTTCTTGAGGAAGAATGAGTTGGGGAGTTCACTGTAGAAGAGGGATTAGGTGTGTCTTGGGAGAGTGTATATGATAGTCACTATGTTGGTTTCTTGATAGCACTTCCTTTTTCTTTAGGCGTATGACATTCCACTATAAGAGAAGCAGTCTGAGTTACTTCGGAGGTGTCTGTTCTCGCACAAGGGGAGTTGGTGTGAATGAGGTAAATTTGATCAATTTTCCTAAAGTAGAGCTTTATCTTTGCATCTGACCTCTTTCTTCCCTGTAGCCCAGCTTCCAGCCCTCCCAGGCTTGTTTAAAATGACAATGACATAAGAATAAGGTATGAGTGATCTATATTAGTAAGTGGAACCCAAAGTGGTCTTTGGTGTTAGAAAAGAAGTATTGCTTCATTTCATAATGATGGTTTTTCATGTTTATCAGGCAAAGATTGGTCCAGAGATTTTTTTCACCTCTATGGATAAGTTTTTATAAACTTATTATTCCTTTCCCAATAACTTTAAGCTATCATGCTCTCCTATGCATGTTAGGTTTAACTCATTTAAATCAAAGAGTTTATGATTATATTTAAGCAGTATCTTTGTTTTCTCCCTATGTAAATTTTTCATCTTTATGCCTTCTACCTGTATCTCTGTAGAATTCATTGAAACAAATATTTCCTTAGTCTCATTGTTTGGATTCCAGTACCTTCATTTATATCAAGGAAATCCTTACGCCTGTTGGCAACAGCACCCAAAAAGCCGAACCAACTATATCTAAACCCTGATCGATGCCAGAATATATTATACCAGCTTATCCCAATAGCCGTCATTCAGTCGAGACCTCTCTTGGCATATTTGTAGTAAGTTGAATTTATTCTTGGTTTGGTACGAGTTGAATCAGGGCATAGCCTTTTATGGCTTGTATTTTATGTTTCCATGTGAGAGCATCAAGTTCTGAGAGATGCCACATAGGAAGAGAGGCTTTCTGCTTCTTGGGCCCAGTTGCAAGGAAGAAGTGAGAAGGAGCATATGCCATCTTTTGATGCTGTGAGGCTCTACTTAGGGAACTGAGATGATATGTGGTGATGATTAAGAAATAATAACTAGCTTTGTGCACTCTCTCAAATGTCTCCCACACACTTTCAACTCTGAAAAACAGTATGGTCTTCCAATGGCAGTGGCACAAGTATTATCGCAGAGCCTGGCTCAAAACCTTGGAATCCAATGGGAACCTTCTAGCAGAAAGCCAAGTATGTACATTGACCTTCTTACTCGCTTTCATGTGCCATTCTGTCTGTATAATGCATGTCCAGTCAATAATAAATAAATATTTTTCATTCCTAAGTCATGATAGTTGAATTGTAGTATACCTCCTTCCTCTTAAAAAAGATGATCAAACGAGCAACTTAAGGTAATTCTTAATCTGTTTGGGTTGTAGATAGTTCCCCTTCAAAATTCATAAAAATCGCACTCACTTTCTCAAAACAGGAGCAGCTCTTTCTCACATCTCAAGAGTGTTGGGGTTCAAGGGAGGGGGTGAATATTCACCCTCTGGGTTCTAAGCGGTGGAGTGTAGTTCCACTGGGGGTCAATAATAGTACAACTGGACCAGGAAATAGCTTAGATCTAGTGTCAAAAAGGAGCTCCCACTCTAATTAAACTTCCCCACCTACCTACCTCTAACTGAACTCACCCACATGGTCCCATCAGAAAGGCTCAAGAAGAAGCCTCCCCTACAAGTAGCCCTGCCCTAAGGGCCCTTTAAGCCTGGGAATGGGTGGTAGAGGATAACCCTCTCGTGGGCCAACAGTGCCAAGAGGGAGTCCAAACAGGACCACAGACCCCACTCAGTGGGAAAAATGCAGCCAGTGACTGCTGGTGTCACTCTCTTCGTTACTCAGAGGAGGGGAAGTTGGAAGCACAGGGCTGAGCTTCCAGGGCAAAGTATGCAAAGCCCACAGTGGTTTTAGGAGTCCATGAAAAATTTCAGTTTCTTTAAAAATCTGGATTTTTAAAGAAAAAAAAAAACCTGGATTATATTCCTCTTTAGACCAACAAAGTAGTAAAATGCAATTTCTGATACGTTTCTTGTGGCATCAGGCAAAAGTGCCGAGGACCCACAAAAGTCATAAGGCGATCCTGTGGAAAGAAAGACCGAGGTATTCCCTCAAACTCTTCTCTTAAATGGAAGTCTGCTCCCCTCTGTGAAAATACCAGACGCCAAAAGTAAAGGTCTCCCTGCCCACCTCAGCTCCCCAAGGAAGAAAAGGACAAAAATCTACTGTAACATTGTCCTACATTTTCTACCTTTTTGACAACTATCAAATAATTGTCATTAATGCATAGTGTTATGGAAACTTGAAACAAAATACGTATCCAGGGGCTTCTCAATTCCCTTTATGGGTGTATTATGTTATCAGTTGATGGGTATATTAAGTCTGGTGGCATTTAGCAAATATCTACAAACTTTCGCTTATTAATATCTTGCTCAGAGTATTTGCTTTCCCAAGGAAACACATAGTACACATAAGGAGGTGTTTTGGGTTTCATCAGCTGGGATAGATGGCCTTAGTATCAGAAAGGAGTAGGGCCAGGTTTATGACCTTGTTTGAGAATCCGGGGGCCTGGAAGAGGCCAGCGCTGGGGTCAGCTGAGAGATGTTATGGAGTTGGGTGAGGGGGTGGGGTGAGAAGTAGGGGTTCAGGACTGCTGCCCGGAGTGGTTCCTTCCTAAAATGTTTTATTCCTTTGTGAATTGTTTGTTTAGGAAGATAGTTCTTTAGTTCTGAACTTTGGCTTTTAAAAAATCCATTTGGAAGCCTTTCTTTAAAAATATCTCTGTCTGTGATAGAAAAGAGAATAGGAAAAAATAAATGAAAAGAACAGCCCATCGTAATATCAATATGTCAGTCTCTGGCATCTAGGTTGAGTTTGTGATTGTTGTTTAGTTTCAGTGACTTACACTTTAATTTTGGAATGCTCTCTTTTCCTAAACCTTTGAACGTAGTGTTCTTCAAGTCTCTGGCCGAACCTGACTTTGAATCTAGGAAATGGAATTCTGTCCTGTAAATTCCAGTGTGCTCTGCTGGGGAGGCTTCAGTGATGCCTCATGACATGTGTGCGATAAGAGCATCACTGCTCACAGAGCGCACGCCGGCGCTCATCTTGTGTGAGCCCCCAAACCACTCTGGGAGACAGGCAGAGAGGCTGTTCATTTTCAAGGTGGAAACACTGAGACCCAAGAAATACTAAGTCACTTGCCTGCAGGACTTGCCTGTTTGGTAGAACTTGGCCTAGAACTCAGGCTTTTCACTTCCAGACCAGGCTACTTTTCATTAAACATTGGAACTGGGAGCTCAGTTGAGTTTTCTGAGTTACAAAAATGAAGAGAGTGACCGTTTTATTTCTCACCAGCTGTTGTCTTAGGAAACAACCTATACTTCCAAAAGGCTATAAAGAAATATTGATCGAATGGAAATAGATTTTGTTTGGTGAGACTTCACATTCTGTATCTACATGACATGGAATTGGGAATAAGTAATTATCTCAAGAGTTGCAATGCAAATTAAAGATGTGACTTTTGTTGTTTTTCTCTTCTTCTGTTGCTTCTTATTATTTCATTGGACTAGAATGTGACTGCACAGAATCCTGGGGTGGCTGTATCATGGAGGAAACAGGGTAAATTTTCATTTTACGTGCCTTTCATATATGCTTTTCACTGACATTGCTGCATATAATTAGATACACTGTCTCTCAGGTACTGATCTTTTAGGGTCAGCACTCAGTATAAATTCAATCATTAATTATCTGATATTTTAAAAATGAAAGGACTGATTCACCTTATATTTTAATTTTTTATAAAGTTGTTGGTAAGAGTAAAATATAGTAACAACTTCTATTTCTATTAACCTTTAAAAGAAGCCCATTATTAAATGCTTCTAAGTTTAGTAGATACATTAATTTTTTAGTGCACTTAGACTAAGAGCTGGTTGTCTGCCTGAAGCAGTCAGTGAAAGTCAATTTTGTCATCAATTTATATTTTAAGGAACTCACAAATAGATATGTTTGCTCTAGTAAAAATTGTACTACACTGCTTATATGATCCATACAGCTTTTTTTTTTATTAAGACAGATTTATTGTGTCTAAATTAGGTATCATCTCTTGATAGACATTTGAACATTTTCTCAGCTATCTCCTCTCTTCTTGTGAGGATACTTGGAGAACTAGAGTCACTGCCCCGGAGCTGCTATTGGCGTCTGTGAACCAAGGCCGGGAAACATTGCCCCCCCCACCCCCCCAGCCCCTGCCCCTGTGGGGGCCATTGACCCAAGGTTCCCTGAGCTAGAGCCCACTCCTACTAGACGTAAGAGGCTGTCTCACCCAGCGTCTCTCCTGTTTCTTCTGCGCATGCCAGAGATCTGCTCAATACATTGCCTGTTTCTGGTCCTCTCCCTCTCCTGAGGAGCCCCAGTGGCCAGAGGCTCTGACCTACTTGTACAGAGTCCCTTCTTTACGCTCCCACCAGGAGTCCTGCTCCTGGCGGAAAAGAGGAGTGTGATCATGAGGGATTGCAGAGAGAGTCAACCATTCTACCTGCTGCTTTAGAACATGTTTCTAGAAATGTAGTTTAAACCTGAAACTGTAGACCTTCGTGTTCCCCTTACTGTTCTACCATAGTTTAGTAACATTATGGCTTAAACAGCATTTTTGCGGACTACTATAGGAAGGTAACACCATTTATAATATTGCTTCTATAGGGAGGCACCTTCTGTCTTCTAAACTCCCAATTTCTTTTTTTTTTTTTTTAAAGATTTCATTTATTTATTTGACAGAGAGAGACACAGCGAGAGAGCGAACACAAGCAGGGGGAGTGGGAGAGGGAGAAGCAGGCTTCCCGCACAGCAGGGAGCCCGATGTGGGGCTCGATCCCAGGACCCTGGGATCATGACCTGAGCTGAAGGCAGACGCTTAACGCCTGAGCCACCCAGGCGCCCCAAAACTCCCAATTTCTAAATGGATTTTTGGACTGGCCACCCAGAGGCTAGAATAAAACTATTTAAAGCTAATATATATATTTTCTCAAGTATACATTTCTACATAGTTCCTTTAAGAGATCACTATCAACAATGGCAAAAACTTTTCCTACTTCCATATACTACCCTCATGCATCAGGGTACAAGAAACTTTAGGATTACATCCTAGAATCCGTGGCCTGTGGCTCTCAAATCAAGTACTATAACAAATATGCCCAAGGAATCAGTGTGTGTGATTCAGTTTAACTTTGACCGTGTGTATAATATCTCCCCAGGTACTGACACAGAGATAGTAATTGGATTAATTAAATCACAAAGAGGCTCATATCATATTCCTAAGTCATGAATATATTTGAGGTTGAGCCTAAAAAGCTATTATCTAATTCTAATTCTGTTTTTACCGAGTGTGTATGTGCTAAAAACATATATACATATATATGTATATATAGTCATGTATATACATGTATGCATCTATGTATATGTAGTATAGTATAATACTTCCCTTCCCTTGATTTCCTAGTTTGCCTCATTGGTGTTGCTGAAGTCTGCATTATATAATCTTTAATAGATTGACCCTCACAATTCCTTCCTCCAAAGTAAAATCTAGTAGGTTCCTTTGCATCTTTTATTCAGGACAGAGGCAAAAAATGCTTGCCTTTACTGAGACAGAGCAAACAAAAATGACCACACTTTAAAATATAGCTTAGGTGGAGAAGTTTTGTGATAAGCTTTCCAAAACTCTTCCAAGCCCAGGCACAGAAGGGCTTGGTTGCTGAGGAGGTTATAACCTGGCTCCCAATCTGTGGTTTTCTTTGACTATCTATTTTTACAAATTCTACCACACGTACTTATTCGGCAATTTGAACATAAATGCCTTGTCATAACCTGTGTGGAATCATCTAGATCCAGAGTGAACATGTTGTTCTAATTCAAGGGTTTTAATTTTCTTCTCTGATGCCTGCTTTTGGTAAATTATTTACATAATTGATTCTTTATTTTCTCAGGGTGTCCCATTCCCGAAAGTTCTCAAAGTGCAGTATTTTGGAATATAGAGACTTTTTACAGAGAGGGGGTGGAGCCTGTCTTTTCAACAGGCCGACAAAGGTTAGTAACTCAGAAAGTGTAATTATTTCTTTAATTTTTTTTTGCTTCTAAGACATTTGTTTAATGTACATAACACTTATGAAAGCAATAGCGTTTGAAATCATATACAGCTCAGATCTGCTCAGAATCCAGTCACAAATGTCTTATGGGAAAAGACTTAAAAGCCATTCTTGCATTTCACTCTGTGAAATGTTGAAAAGTAGCTCCGTGACTTAATAAAATGAGATGCAAAAAGACATATCTTTTTACAACGGAACACTGCCAAATGTCAGATACTTGTCTTGGAAAACAGGTCTTTTTGGGGAGGAGGGGATTTATCAATCAGATTAATATTTAGTCATAAAAGCCATTATCATGTTGAACCCTTGTCCTGTTTAAATGCATGATAAAACTATAGTTTTGCTGCTTTGAATCTGATTTTTCAGTGCTATCTGTACCCCTCCCACTTTGTTCTCCAAACAGAGAAACAAACATGCTTCAATCAAAATATATTTGAAATTTACATGTTAGGATTTTCATCCTGCTGCTTAGAGATTGTGGGTTAGATTAAGATACATTGCTTTAACCTGTTTCTCTGAGAAAAATTCCATTTTCCATTGATATTCTAAGAGTATAATTAGTTTCCTGGCTTTTTTTTTCTTTTTAAGTGGTCTATTCTCCTAGACAGGAAGCATTACTAATATCAGCTAGCCAAAAAATAGCCCAAAGTATTTATGGATCTCATAAATACATTTGTGTATTTATTATTTATTATATAGTCTCTTTATGTGGGAAGGTCCATGGCGTCGACTGGCATTTCATCAAGATTCATATGTACGTTATCACAATCCTTATCCATAATTCCTTAACTCAAAAAGCTCTGAAAATTTGAAGTCTTTTTTATGAGTTTGCAGGAAACACGTCAGGCAGTAAAACTTGTCTTGGACTGAAAACCTTTATTACCCCTCATAGTGTAAATATTCATAAGTATTACTGCAGAAATAGAAATGTTTTTGATTATAGGGTGTGCACCAGGCCCCTTAGGGCTATTACATAGAACATTGTAAATGTATCATACTTTTCTAAAATCTGGCAAAGCCAGAATTTTCAAACTCACTGGCTACAAAGCTTTTGCGTAAGGGACTGTGGACCTCTAATAGCGTATTTAGAAATGAATCGCTCAACAGACAAAAAGACAGGATTGCTGCTAATTAGCAGATGGTATAGAAACTCTAACATTGCACATCTCATATTTCTTTTGGAAAATACTACTTCATAAGTCAAATATAGTCCATTTGCTATACAAAATGTTTAATGCTCTATGAATTGAGAGAGGAGTGAAATCATGTTAATCTTCAGAAAAAAAAATCAGTGACTAATGTGGATAACTGACAGAATAATTTACTCCTAGCCTCATAATTAAGTGATACCCCTGTAGTCAGGGGATGGTAGTTGGATGCCTGACATCTGTATAAAATCTCAGTGAGTCTGCAGAAAAAGAAAAGTGACCTTGCACCATTAAATTCAGCCGCCTGCCTTTCATGACATTGATCTCAGTGCAACAGAAAGCTGAAAACTTCAAAGTGTTCAAAGTGGGGGAAATGAGTAGTCATGATTGATGTAAGCTGCTGACATTTATGAATTGGAGTATGCATGACTAATTTCACCTGCCTTGCGTCTCATCAGCCAATTAGAAGCATTGTGCCTGAGAGCACAACACTGAGTCCTAAGGTTTCTAGTGTGTGTGGAAGGATCCATCATTAGATTTCTGAAATTGCCAGTGAGTAGAAAAAAAATTATTCTGATAACTTGGAAACTAAATGAAAATAACAATACATCTTCAATTTTAAAAGTTAGTAAATATGGATTTTTTTAATCTACATGGCAGAATGATTTTTCTTTAAAACACTCTATGGATTCTAGTGGAATAGTTTGTATGTATGTATCAAAGAACTGACTTTTTTTTTCCAAGTGCTTTTAGTCAATGAATGTATGCATACGTGGCTTACATGTTATATTCCACATTACCTGCATGCCTCTTTTCTGCGCTGTGGGACGCTTCCCACCTGCTATGTTTTCCACCTGTCGCGGGATGGAAGAAGGCTCCTAAGAGTGAGATCTAGCAGCTGGTTCCATGCAAGGCCTGATAGGAAAGTGCTAGCCATGTTCCAGTCTGAGCTTCCCATTTCCACTTTCTCCGGCCTGCTGATAAAATACCACAGAGATCAGGACTGTTGATTTCACTTATTGGACTTTCCTATGGAGGAGTCTCACCCAAATATGCTGGAAAACTTTCGTGCTTTGAATAAGAGCTTTTCCTTACTGGAAGTGGAAGGAGAATCGGGTCTTTCTCAGATGGACTCGGTGGAAGGCAACCCTTCCTTGGGATCGCTGGAGGAGGAGTCTCTCTTACCCTCTCATATTCCTGTCTTTGAGCATTTGGGTTGGAATGTGCTGTTCCAGTCTTCATCCAAGAATGATGGGCATGCAAAGGGAGATCTTGCCGCAGCTGAGGGAAAATCGGAATATTTCTCATAAACACTCAACTGCCTGCACAGTTGGTTGCAATATAGTTTGTCTGGCAAGCAAGTTCATAGCACTAGTAGAGTGGATTATTCTAGAAATCTGACTCTTCCATTGCTCCAGGAATGATTGAGAGATTTCTATACATCCGTGCATATGTCTGCACATTTATTTAATATGCCTTAAACAGTGCAGATTTCTTTTCAATGCGAATGATGGGCATGGATTTCCAGCAGCACCTTTTCTATGCTTATTTGCATTTCCTTGATTGTATTTGTTACATTTGGCTGTGACTGAAACATTTTTATCTTTTTGACAGTTTTTGTGTTTTCTCAGCTGCCTGGAGATGAGTCAGTAAATTAGATATCTGTGAGTCTTAGCATTGCATCTTAGCTCCATTAGCAAATATGATAAATGATCTATTCCTTTTGACAGTTTATTTCCATTAATAAGTAATTCTAATGGTAGAGGTCATCTCTGGAGCCCACCTCCAGAGAATCCTCCAAGAAATAGTACCCCATTTGGAATATGGTTTTTAGAAGGGTTATTAATAAGTGAACAGTGTTACCCACACAGACATCATTTGTAAGATGCCATTAACAACAGATCACAGAAGAATTTCACATGATAGCAGATTATAGGACCATGTATGTGGCCCTATTGGTGTGTTGATTTTCTGTGATAAATTAAAACATTTTTCCTTTCTCTTCCTAATCTCTTTTAGCTATTTGAGCCCACAGAATGTGGAAATGGTTATGTGGAGGCTGGAGAGGAATGTGACTGTGGTTTACACGTGGTAGGTATAAGAGATCTTTCCTACCTTCAACACAGCTCCTCCCCAGAGCAAACAGGAATAGCAAGAAGCCTACAGCGTCCTTCTCTGTGGTCTTACTGCCTTTCTTTCTCGTCTCTCTCATCAGTGCTTAATCCTAGCTCAGACATGTTAGAATTAATCATGTCCTTATGGCCTTGTTTGAAAAAAACCTAATGGGTTCTTCTAATCAAATCTCCTACCTCTTAAAAATTCATAGCTCATATTCATCCCATTCAAATTTTACCAAATCATGAAATAGTCTTTCCATGGTGTGTATTATTTTTGTCTTTATAAAACTAGATAGTCTTGGGGCCCCTGCCTGGCTCAGTCAGTAGAGCACGTGACTCTTAATCTTGGGATTGTGAGTTCAAGCCCCATGTTGGGTGTAGAGATCGTAAAAATAAAATATTTTTAAAAATCCAAAACTAGATAGAGTCTTAAGAAGGTATTGGAGCTAACCGAAGGTGAGGTGCTTGCTAAGAAATAAGCTTACTTTTTAGTAGAGAAGCCCTCTCACAGAAGATCATACTTTGCTGGAAAATATGGCAGGAAGGAATTTTATCATTGTTTAAAGTGATTACTTCCTGAAATATTTGCTTGTTATTGTATAAGTCTCCTCATGTGGATTATAAGTCACATGTGGAGAGAGGGTTGAATGACTAGCCTGTAAGCTTTCTCACTCACGTGAAGTGTTTCCTCTAGGAATGCTATGGATTGTGCTGTAAGAAATGCTCTCTCTCCAATGGGGCCCACTGCAGTGATGGGCCGTGCTGTAACAATACCTCATGTCTCGTGAGTCAACTGACACTTTCGCCTTCCTTTTCATCGACATGTTAGCTACATCTCTCAATGCATACAGAGTATTTGTAGAGCTTGCCGCACATTTGTTGATTGACCATGTGCCTCGTAATTTTGTAGAATCAACAAAGCTACCTAAATTCTGTGGGTCAAAGCATTTACCTTTACTATGATGCACTATCAACTATCCTATCTTTCAATGCCTCCTTAAGAAAATATACGTATACTCCTTCCAAAATAAACATTGAGAGTTGTCCTGCTAATGCAGATGAAAACCACTTTAAATGGTTGAATAGAGGAGGGACAATTTCTGTGGTCTTTTTAATAATATAACCTACTTATAATATTTTTCTTTAAGTTTATTACTATGTATATGTACATTTATTTTGGACCACGAACCTAAAACCTAGTGCTCACATTTTTTATGCTTGGGTTTAAAGTCCCCCTATAAAGGCAAGAAAGCTGGATAAAGAAGTAATCTATGTGTGTATATTTAGATGTGCATATATACATCTTATGTGTGTATGGACACAGTTCATTTCCCTCTGTAGAATCTCCAGTCAATTGTTGAAAAGTCATTTTTTAAATCTTCCTTTTTCTCATTTACTAAACCTCTAATATTCCTTATAACCATAAGGTTACATGATTTTATTATTTTATTCAGTACCAAGAAGTATTAAGCATTGTGGTATTTTAAAGAAATTCTAGCTTAGTTGCCTTATGTTCCCCACCAGATTATAAATTGCTTGACATCAGTGGTCTTTTTCCTTCATCTTTTACCCACCCCCTCAGTGTGATTGGTGTCACTGAAAGGAGTTCATATGAATTCACTGAAATTTGATTGTATATATTTAGCTAAAGCAAGATTAAGATCCAAGCTAATAGGTACACTTAGTGAAGGTTGGGTGAATCAATCTTCAGAGAGATCTTAAATGTTTATATTTTAGTGATTTGCTCTTTTGTTTTAAACCATACTACTCTATCTTCTTTACATAATTGCCATTACCTTGTTTTCCAAAAGTAATACTCTGAAACCTTGGGTTTTGAAATCTGAACAATTAATGCCTTGGTTAATGATTCATATTTACTACAGAGAGTGGTATCTGGGCCTTGTCTCTATTCTGCAACTATCTTGCTAATTCGTAAAAAGAGTTTGGTAATGGTTATGAGAGAGTGTCTGAATTATTGGTGAATATAACAATGCTAGCTATTTGAAATACTAATTAACACGAGCTCCTAATATTGAATTTTGATTTGCAGTTTCAGCCACGAGGGTATGAATGTCGGGATGCTGTGAATGGGTGTGATATTACTGAATATTGTACTGGAGACTCTGGCCAGGTATGACAAACTGAGTTTTTAAATAATACATTTTACTTGCAAATATTGTACACATTGGAAAGCTTTCACTTGGGCTACATGTATGAATATGATTTGGTTTCTTTGTTTTTTTGTTTTGTTTTACTTTGTTTTCCAGTAATTTCTAGATCTCCACTATGCCTTTATTTTAGGAACATTTATTGTGTTTCCTGGACCTAGATCTCTTTTTTCTTCCAAATTTCCCCTTCCTAATTAGTTCCCTTTATATGGTTTCTACCCAACAAATTGATTTTTCTTTCTGTCCCCACATCTAAAATAGTATATTTACACTGATGAGGAATTAATGTACTGTTTTCAAACATTTTTAAGCCACCAAGCCCTTTCTTCTAAGAAAAAATTTGTGGGATGCCCACCATAGCAGGGAACAAGGAACATTGCTCTGACTGAAGAGGGATCGGGAGCAGGTGTCCACCTCTCTCAGTTCTGTCTCCCACTCTCCTCCACTTACATTGTCCTAGCATCATGCCCCATATGCTTTGGTGTGGTCTTCTTCACATTAAAAATTACTATAATATAATTAATGCCATCTACTAGGATTCCCTTTTTATATAATTTTTATGTTTTAAAAATTTATATCACATTATTTTAAGTCTTCATTTTTCATTCAAATGGGCATTTACTGAGCACCTGCTGTGTGCCAAGCACTGCTATAAATATTGGGATATGGTAGGGAACGAGATAGGCAAGTCCTTGTACTCAGGGAACTTACATTCTGCGGGTGGAGAAATAAGTCAACAAAAACATCCGGTGGTGCTAAGTGCTAAGTGTAATGTAAGGTGATGTGGGATATGGGGTGGGGCGCTTTAGGTGGGGTGCTCAGGTATATTTTCCTGGAGGAGTTGGCATTTAAGTAGAAAGGCACAGAAGGAGCTAGTCAGAAAACAGCAGGTAAGGAAGCTTGGCTTCTTCAAGAAATGGAATGAAAGCAGGGATTACTGGAGAGTAGTGGGAAGAAATCAAGAGGAAGTCAGGAATCAAGGCAGTTAGGGGATAGGTAAGAATTTTGGCTTTCATTCTTTTATTTTTTCTCTGACGTGACTTCAAAAACATGTTCCTGTACTATTACTCAGTTTTTATAAATACCCCTTTTACAATTGCACGAGAGTCATGTGGATTCATCAGTTGACTTGTGATTTGTTATCCAGTGGTGGCTATTTAGGTTGCTGGCGGTTTTTTCATTATTCTAATTAATATGGCAGTGAACATCTTTTCTTTATGCATCTTCAAGAGTATTTCTTGTTCAGGATTCACTCCTTAGGACAAATTGCCCAGAAATAATGGAGTTATCTGTTGCCAGGTTTCTAAGGGACTCCCCATAAATAGAGTACAGTTGGAGGTCAAAATACTATTTTTCATATTGAATATGGCCAAGTTGAGAGCCATAACTTAGTGTGAGAACTAAATGAGCCTCTTTATAGGTCCTAGATTCAGGTGGTAGGAACAGGTTATTGACAAAAGTGGGTCTGGAGCGACCTCTCCTTGCAGAGATGGGCTGTTGTCTTGTATGTCCCGGAGGAGCAGCAAGAGTAGTATGATTTATGTGAGTAGGCAAGAGAAGAATGGCAGAACCGAGCCAAAGGGCCAGTAATTCTTCCCAGGTTTGTCAGTCATTCGGTCACTCTACCTGCCTCAGGGGGAATGGAGTGTAGGAGCAGAATAGCTGGAGGTACCCTGAGTTCCCTTCATTGGGAAAAAACAAGAGGAGAGGGAGACAAAGGTTTCTAACTAACCTTTTTGGAAGTTCTTGATGTATGATTTATCTGAGATGCAATTCAAAGGGACCCTTTTAAGGATATGATACAGTGAAATATGTTCAGCCTATTCTTTATTGATTTTTATGCATATCTGTTTCTTCTATTTATATATGTAAATGGGTTTCTTTGCAATTTTCCTAGAATATAGTAAAAGAGTGTTAGAATTGTGGGTTTTGTGTTTTATGCCAAGTTTTATGTTTTGTGACAATCCTGGTATACTGTTTCACTGAGTTATATTTTTAGTTTTGTAGAATACTACTATTCTTATAGCCATCATATATAGTTTTGGTTCTGTGTTTCAGCTCTTTTCAAAGTACAGTTTTTTCGTTTCAGCCTTTAATTCCTGAATTGCCATAGAATTTACTGGAAGTAAGGCTTTTATAATGAGGGCTCTATGTTCAACTTAATATTCTAGTGTCTAAGTTTTTAAAACATTCTTTTTTTACGATTTTATTTATTTATTTGAGAGAGAGGGAGTGGGAGTGAGCAAGAGCAAGCAGGGGGGCGGGGGCGAGGGAAAGGGACAAGCAGACTCTGCACTGAGCATGGAGCCCAATGCGGGGCTCGATCTCAGGGTCCTGAGACCATGACCTGAGCCAAAATCAAGAGTCAGACGCTTAACTGACTGAACCACCCAGGTGCCCTAAAATGTTCCTTTTGCCTCATGTATGTATGTAAGGTGAAAATTGCACTGTTAAATTAATTTCTAAGTGGGGCATATTAGAATAGCATGTTCTTTTAGCAATAATTTCCTTATATGACCAGAATGTGCCTTAAATAGATAATTGGAGTAGAGGGAGTTAGGATCCCCCAGAATTCTTCTGCTTTATAACAGGCAGTGAGCCTTGAATTTAACTGATACTAATTATGATTAGGAAATAGGGGATCTCAGAGAATCTCTGCGTCTCTGAGAATTAGCCTCACTGGCAACATTATGACTTTATGCCTCGTTATCTCATGTCTTTGCTTAATTTTGATCTTAGCCTTTACTGATGCCTCTGAGCTACTTTTTAAATTCACAGTTTATCACGGAATAAACAATACTTGTGCAACTGAGAGAAATCCTTGGCAAACGATGCTGGATGATATAATAAAGGTATTTTTGAAAGATGTGGGAAATGTATCTTGTTAGCGCTATAAAAGATGCCATCTATATGGGTGGTATAACACAATTAAAAATAAGCACATTTAAATGCTACCGCACTGTTGAAGGCTGCCTCCTGTGAACTTTCCTGCACAGCCTGAAACTGGGGGCTGGGAGGGCATTTAGAGACCGAATCTAGAGCTCTACTCACAGGTAGAATAAAGCATGCAGATTTATGGTTCTTCTGTTTTAAATGTCCCCAGAGAATGTAAGACATTCCATAATTCCCCATGTTAAACATTTCAGTGATAAGCAACTTGCTTTTATTAGCCTAAACTAAAAATAAATTGATTAGAAATCTTGCATGTAGCTGTAGCAGTTTACAATCAGGGCTTTTTTTTTTTTTAATTAGTAAAGAGTTCTACAAAAAATTTTTTTATTGAAACATCACAAAAGTCAACTGTGATAAATTAATTTTAGACCCTGATATACCTGTTCTAGTCGCAACATTTCTTTTGCATTTTTGTTTGATGTGATTGTATTCATCTCGGAGTAAGTGAATAATTACTGTTAGTTGATTAATAAGATACCGATTGCATCTGGAGTGGATTTGGATGGATGAAGGAGCCCACGAGGATCTGTTTCTATGCTATTGGCCCAAGTAGGCCAGGTTTTAGTGCTGATAATTTATGTCCTTTGAGTAGTCACCATCAGATTGATTGAAAAGCTGTAGTGAATGAAGGCTTATATGAAAGTCAGTTATTCTTTAGAAAGATGTAGAACCAAAGTATTTTATCTCAAAGTGTTCCTTTTATTAGTGCTTCTTAGCAATTGCGAATTCTAAATTAGTTCTATTACCTTTCTGTAGTGAACTTGATAAACAGCTTGATATGTGCAGAACAGAGTAACTTTTTTAAAAAAGATTTTATTTATTTGAGAGAGAGCACGAGTGGGGCGGGGGAGGGTCAGAGGGAGAAGGAGAAGCAGAATCCCTGCTGAGCAGGGAGCCTGATGCGGGGGCTCCATCCCGGGATCCTGAGATCATGACCTGAGCCGAAAGCAGACGCTTAACCAACTGAGCCACCCAGGCGCCCCAGAACAGAGTAACTTAATTGTGTCTGCATGGGTCATTCATTTATTTATCCAGTTAACCAATAGTAATTGAGCACTTACTCAATAATAATTGAGCCCGGTTTTGTTCCAGCTGCGAGGGAGGCAGCAGGGAACCACGCGTACAACCCCTGCCTGTGTGGGATGGGGACAATAGACCAACAAATAAGTAACGTATATGAGTATAAGGTGATAGGTTCTATGGAGAAGGAAAACACCAGGAAACGGGGAACGGAGAATGCCAACATGGGAGGGCTTACAGTTTTTGAGAGCAAACCGTGCAGAAACCTGGGGGAAGACTGAAGGAAGGGCAAGGGCAAAGCCACGGGGTGGGAAGTGTGCCTGGCACGTTGGCAGAGAGTCGGCTCAGGCGTGGCAGGGCAGGGATGAGGTCGGAGAGAGGATGGAGTTGGGGGGACAGCAAAGTGAGGATCATGTTGAACTCTGACGTTGGGAAGCAGAGGAGCAACATGATGTGATTTATGTGTTTAGAAGGACACTCCAGTGGCTGAATAGGGGTGGAAGCAGGGCAATCAGTTGGAGGCTGCTGCATAATTCAGGTGAGGGATGATGGCGGATTGGACTGGGGGTTGGCAGTGGAGATGGACAAAAGGGGTCAGATTGTGATTCTAGTTTGAAGGTAGGCCCAGTAGGATTGGTTGACAGACTGGAAGGAGGGTGTGAGAGAAGCAGAGACAGGATGACTTCATGGTTTGGGACCTGACCAATGGGAAAAGCGGAACAGTCCTTTACCGAGAAGGCGAAGGCCGTTTCTTACTCACTCGCTTTCCCTGTATATTGTATATATATTTTATGTATATATATTTTGTATATATATTTTTCTTTGCATATTTGCTTTGAACACTGTACTAGAGGCTTTGACTTGAACCGTCTTCAACTCTCTCACATGTGGCAAATAAAATGCATAGAGAGTAAAAGTTTTAGTTCATTCAGAGTAACTTTTTGGGGAAATGAAGTGTACTTTTAAACAATGACTTGATAAACAGACCTGGAAAAAGAAATGACCATCCCATCACAATTGTTCTAGTAGCACGTCTGTAGTTGGAGAGGCCAGACACATAATAGAGATGCAGCACTCACATTGAGTTGAGAGACTATTTCTTCTTTTTCAATAATGTGGCCTAGAGGTGAGCGTCAGGGGTGTCGAATGCAGATTTGACACTTCCCAGGGCTGAGAAAGGTCCTGTGAGTTAGTTCCCAAAATGTGTCCACTCCTACATAACAAGCTGATTCATGGCCTTCGTTGTCCGTTTTAATTCCTTCTACTTTTGACTCTGTAAGCAAGTGAATGTAAGTTCCTATTTTAGTCTACCTCATGGAAATCAGAGAAGTAAAAAGTACTCACTGCATGGATGAATTTATTATTTTTACCAGTAATAGAAGAAGTAGTTTGGATAACCTACTTAAGGGGTTACTCATGTTTTTCTAGACATTCCCAATTACATATTCACCATGCTTGCTTTTTTTTTCATATTTATATGTATACGCATTTATATTTATACGCATAAGGTGAAGGTACTTATGTTGAACATTAATGAAAAACATTGTATTTTTCAGTGCCCACCAAACCTTCATAAACAAGATGGATATGCATGCAATCAAAATCAGGTATGCTGGGCTATAAGTTTTCAATGTAATTTTAAAAGGACTAGTTTGTGAGTTTTTTTTCCCTTTCTGATGAATATATCTTCAAAGGGAAATCGCAACTCAAAGAACGATACATTATTGCAATGGACTTCTAATTCCGTGTTGCTTCGTGGCATATTAAATACTAAATCTAGTATGATATTTAACTCTGGTGACAAATTGTCCAGATTGAGGGCAAAGAAAAAATATAATGACTAAAGAATTAGGAAATCTAATTTATTGAGTTGTGACCATCTTTCAATAACATCAGCCTCTTATGGGAAAATATGACTGTTATAATGTGCTATCGTATGTGATGATGTGGGTTTTGTCTTTTCTGAAACCATGTTATGATGTAACATTCATACCCCAAAGAAGCTAAAAATCATTTTGGAATCGCCCAAGGAAGTGTACCAACGTTTGTTTTCCATAAAATTTAAAATTTCAGAGGATTAGTGTTGACTTAAAGAGCTGTACTCTGAGGTCTATTCTGAGTTTTAGAATTTAACTGTCTGTTGTGCTTCCCTTAAGATGTTTGTGATTTTTATTTTCACTGTGAAAATATTTGGGTATGGAGTGAAAAAACAAATCAACTTATCCAAATAACAACAAAAGGACACCTTGCAGTGCAAATCTGGGGGCAAGGGAACTGGCTGCGTGGGCCTCCTAACGTGTGTCCCTGTCCCCAGGGCCGCTGTTACAATGGGGAGTGCAAGACCCGGGACAACCAATGTCAGCACGTGTGGGGAACAAGTAAGTCGCATTTTCCTGCTTGGTGATTGCACACGGTTTTTCTGGGTTTTATCCTGCTCTGCCAGTCTCGCTGAAGACATGGACAGCTTGGAGTGATGTTTTTATTTTATTGTATTTTTTTAAGATTTATTTATTTTAGAGAGAGAGAAAGGGGGAGGGGCAGAGAGAGAGGGAGAGAGGGTCTCAAGCAGACTCCATGCTGAGCAGGGAGCCCCATGCAGGACTCGATCCCACGACCCCGAGACCACGACTTGAGCCGAAACCAAGAGTTGGATGCTTAACCGACTGCATCACCCAGGCGCCCCTGAAGTGACGGTTTTTAAAAAAATCCAGAAAAGGGTGAGAATAAAGAGAACTGTGAATCTCAGTCACAAAAACCACAGAAAACAGCTGTTGAAGCTGGGGACTTGTCATCAGAACCAAGCCGTGTCGCACAGTGATGGGGCTGTCAGAGAGGGGATGTCACATGCAACTGCAAAGATTGGGTTCAATGTGGTGGTCACATTATTATCCAGCCACTTGTGTGAATCACTCTGTACCTTGGGTTTAACCACTATCCCTCAGGTTAGCCTTTTGTTCCTTTACCTCAGGGAAGAACCAGACTTACTTTTAAAATTCTGTAGTTTTATCATCTCAATTTGAAAGGAAGAAATGCAGGTCCTTCCTGAGGTGCAGACCCAGAGATTTGGGTACATGGTCCTGGCTCTCAGTACAGTCCCTAAATTTTTTTTTTTTTTAAGATTTTAAGATTTTTTTTTTAAAAAAATTTATTTGAGAGAGAGAGAGAGCAAGCGAGCATGAGCAGGGGTAGGGGGGAAGGGAGAAGCAGACTCCCTGCTGAGCAGGGAGCCTTGATGACCAGGGGCTCTATCCCAGGACCCCAGGATCATGACCTGAGCTGAAGGCAGATGCTTAACTGACTGAGCCACCCAGGCGCCCCAATGCACTTATTCTCTTCCTGACATTTACAGTGCCTGTCCTGTAAACTTCAGTTCATGGGGGCCAGACCACAGCAGACAGAAATGGGTCTGTCTTGCTGGCTGAGACTGGGTCACCCCCAAAGGAAAAGAAAGCACACGAGATAACAGAGCCCCTGCAGGAGTGATTTCAGTGTTTGGCAAATATCATGTAACTGAAAGATTTACTTTCAGTGCTTCAGTTTTGAAAGAGGAAAGATAATAGAGGCATATTTGTCTTTTAAAAGGTTTAAATACCAAAATCCAAGTGTCGGCATAAAATCTTAATTGCCTAAGACTTTATAATATCTTTTAATACCCGTGTAAAACAGGCCTAAGAATCTTTCTTCGTTTTCTAAGTGCCACTTCCCTAATTCCTGCTGATGACCCTTCCTCCCTCCCTTCCTCAAACCCACCAACAAGAATTGAAATCAGTTTTTTCTCAAGTTAAAAACAGCAGCGCATGGGAGCTGTCTTGGAGTAGCTTGCAAGAGCCAAGTGTGAGGTTTTGAGGAATTTCAGAAGCCTGTTGCCATCACATTGATAGCTTGAAATTAGCCGTGTGTTACACAGCGGAAATTGACACGATGGTATTTACACCATGGAAATTGGCAAATGCTAAGAGGGGATTTTTTTTTTTCTTTTTCTGGAGAACCAGTTGTTAAACATTTACTATTGGTGCTGCTGGTTGTGCATAACAAAGACAACTAAAACACATTGTCTTCTTGTGCTCTGCTCCAAAAGAGGCTTCCGGGTCTGATAAGTTCTGTTACGAAAAGCTGAACACAGAAGGCACCGAGAAGGGAAACTGCGGGAGGGACGGAGACCGATGGATCCAGTGCAGCAAACAGTGAGTGGTCAGCTTTGGGGGCACGATGAGTGATTTGGAAGCCCTGATTCAAATGTAAATTGACCACGAAATAAATGTTACTGATTTTTAATAAATACTCAACTATTTAAAATTTTACAGTATGTATTTCAAAAAATACGTTAGTATATCTAGAAGCAAGTTGCTGCGGACCAAGCTGTTAACTGTGGCATAGACTCACACCATTTCTGTAAACTTCAGAACATTTCTCGTATGTTGTATTTTACTTGATGCTTGTTTGGAAAGACACTTTGCTAAGGTATTATAAAATGCTATTAGGTCTTAATTTTCTACTTTTGCTGGAACATATGGCCTATGAATGTCCTAGTATACACAGAGCTCTACAGGCAAAATATGTAGACTATATATTTGGGGGACAATTAAAATGAAGTAATACATATGTTTGATTTTTCTGTGAGTGCAATACCATTTGATTTAATTAAACATCTAATGTCCATATCAGATTTTTTTCCCCTTCTATAAAGCATCTGGTAAGTGCATTCTGGAGGCATCTTTACTCAGGAAATGAGATATTTTCAGAGTACGTTGGTAATATTTTCCCTGGATTAGTCGAGGAACATTAAAATTGTGATTTAATAGTTTATTAAGGTTAACTCAATGACATGGATCTATGGGACCATCAAGTTATGGGCCAAATTTCCTTCATTATCCTTCCATAACAATGAGGATTCTCACAATTCTGAAGCAGAGCAAGGATTTAAAGACGTTTCATTTTTCTAGTTAATGATCTCTCTGTTGTGTTTCATGAAACTTTGCTATTCCATGCAGGCTTTGATGGTGGATGAGGCTGACGAGGCAACAAATCTTTGACCATAGTTTCTTTAAAATTAAACCAAAATAATAGAACAGATCTTCCCACCTCATGTCTCACGAGTGAGGCACAGATGTTCCAAAATACTGATCCTCTTTCTGAGGTAACAGAGACCAGGAGGAAGTGGGGCCTAAAGTATTAAAAATCCATGTGGTCGGACACCTGGATTTCATTAGCTTCATTAATTAGCTTAATGTCCTAGACAAACCTGATCATTTCTCTGTGTCTTTGTCCCTTCAAAAAGTTTGGGAGGCATTAGATTGGATCATTGTACAAAAGATAGCTTTTGACTATCTAGTAACAGAATATTCAACCACCACTGAGTTAAAGAAAATTAATGCGTGTTTTCTGAAATGTTCAAAAGTTGGGAGATGCAACATATAAGCAGAAACGTGAATAAGACACAAATATACAGTTTGCCAAATAATTATTACATGACCTCCCATGTCACCCCCTACCTGGATCAAGAAACAGAACTCACAGCATCCCAGAAAATGTATCCTTCCCCACAAGGTGCCCTCATCTTGCTCCTGGAGGTACTACCATCCTGACTTTTGTGACAATTACTTGCTTGCCTTTTAGAGTTTGGCTGCCTTGGTTTTCCTCCCTAAACAATATATTTTGCCTAAAAGTTTGGTATAGCATTTGGAAATCATACTTCATGTATTATTTTGTATTTTGCCTCTTAAGTTCAGCATTTGAAGCATCTCACATGGTGTGTGTCACTCTTCATATTTATTGTTCATTGGTTTTACTATCATTTGTATTCACGCTCACATACCATGATGTAGCTCTCCACTCCGTGTTAATGGTCATTTAGGTTGTTTCTGTGTGTTGGCTGTTAGGAACGACGCTGCCATGGGTATTCTTGTGCATGTAACTTAGTGCACATTCATAGACATTCTTCTAAGACCTATACCTAGAAGAAAAATTGCTAGGTCAGAGGGTATGTGTATTTTCAGTGCCACCAGATGATGTCACGATTTTCTAAAATGGGTGTGCTAGCAAACCCAACCATCAATAATATGCATATGGGAATTTTGTGGAATCACATACTGAACCAGCACTTGGTATTATCAGACTTTTTACTTCTCTCCATTCTGGTGGGTATAAACTGCTATATTATTGTGGTTTTAATTTGCATTTCCTTGATTAGCAGTGGAATTTAGTACATTTTCATGCATTTATTGGACATGGATTTCTCTCTCTCTCTCTTTTTTTTTTTTTTTTGTTGTGCCATTTCAATTCCTTGACCTTTTTTTTAAGGGGGAGCTCGTTGTTTACTTAACAGAGAGGCTGGAGATAGCTGCTTTCATGGGGGCTGAGTCATTTAACAGTGTCACTAAGGACCAGATGATTTCTCCCCTCTGCTCTGGAATGCTTAGCATGATGAGTGTGTATCCTTCTGCTGGTGAGCTCACTATGGCAAGGTGGATGCCAGGGCCGCACATTCAAAGGCAGGCAGTGTGGGAGTCGGAACAAAAGGTTTTCTCCCCGTCAGGCTCTAACCTCTTGTCCAGAAAGCCACATTGTCCCCAGCAACTTCCTAGCTGGCTTTTCCTCACATCTCAACATCCAGGGGCCACTTTTAGCTCTAGTAGGGCAGGACAGTGGGATGGCTAGGAAAGTGGGTATAGAGGTCCGGGGGTGCCATGACTGGCTTCGACCAGTCATGATCAATCCCTCGGGGCTGGGTCTACCCAGACAAAACTGTGATCCTGTTAGCAAGGAAGGATGAGGGTCATAGCCAACCAACAATATCTGAACACACGTTTTTATTTAGAAGGAGAGAAAATATTTTCAATTTTTGAATATATGTGGACTGAATAGTTTTGATTATTTTGAGCTTGATTCCTCCTGTCCTGTTCTGTTTCTGTTTTTATTTAACATGCTCAGTGATGTGTTCTGTGGGTTTTTACTCTGTACCAATCTTACTCGAGCTCCACGTATTGGTCAACTCCAGGGTGAGATCATCCCAACTTCCTTCTATCATCAAGGCCGAGTGATTGACTGCAGGTAATATATTAAATGTTTGAAAACCTAATGAATCACAAGAACTACAAATTCAGAAAAATCAAGCGAAATTTTTCTATTTCTCACAAGAGGAATGTTGACTTTGATTTTATGATCTCCTTTCATGTTTAGAGTTATCTTAAAAAAACAAAGTTGTGGGGCACCTGGGTGGCTCAGTCGTTAAGCGTCTGCCTTCGGCTCAGGTCATGATCCCAGGGTCCTGGGATCGAGCCCCGCATCGGGCCCCCTGCTCAGCGGGAAGCCTGCTTCTCCCTCTCCCACTCCCCCTGCTTGTGTTCCCTCTCTCGCTGTGTCTCTCTCTGTCAAAACAAACAGGAAAAAATACACAAAAAAACAAAATTGTATATTGATTTGCAAATTACATTTGCTCAAAAATCAGACCACTTATTAGTAATGGACACTCTTTGTAATGATGATCATTGAGTAGACTTACAGTATCCATTTTGACCCATGATTAAAGCTATGAGCATTGGAATAGGTCACTCTTTGAACACTTTGTGTTTTATTTTTTATGACAAAAAAAAGAGTTTAAGCTTTACGTTGTGTAACATATTTCTGGCTTAGAAGATGGTTTAATAGTCAATCACATACAGAACGTATTTATTAAAATATTATTTATACTGTAGGCAAGCATTTGGCGTCCAATTATCTGTGAGTATGAGGCACAGAGACTATGAGGCTTATTTTTTAAACTAGGGAGTCATGTTACATTCCAAATAAGTATTGTTCCTTTCAAAGTAGTCATAATTCTAAGATACTGTGCTTTCATTCAAATGGTACTGTTGTTGCCCGAAACACTTCTGGGATTCTTTTACAGAATTGCCATAGCATCTGCAAACTTTTATCTGTAGTATCCTTAGAGTAGCAGACCTTCATCTTATGTGAGTGAATATGAGATTTGGAAACATGCAAAAATTTTTTGAACAAAATTTAGGAAATTTATTGAGTAAACAAGTTGAATAATGTTCTCTTGGTCAAATGATTGCTGTATTTTTCTTTTATTTTTTTAAAAAGACTTATTTATTCATTTGAAAGATAGAGAGCACGCACATTGGGGGAGGGGCAGAGGGAGAGAATCTTCAAGCAGATTCCCCGCTGAGCACGGAGCCAGTTGATGCCAGGCTCAATCTCACAACCCATGAGATCATGAGCTGAGCTGAAACCAAGAGTCAGACACTTAACCAACTGAGCCACCCAGGATCCCCTGTGTTTTTCTTTTAAATTGTTCTGAAGACAATTCTAACTGGTCTTAGACAAGAAGACCCTTCCTGGAATAAATGACATTTTTTTCCTTGATGGCATGCAATGTAATAATGACAATGAAAGGTATTTCCTGTCAATGTGCTCTTTTATTTTGGGAAAGCGGGGAAAAGGGAAAGGGAGGGAGAAGTGGAGAAATGCTACGAGCCATCCATGTCCGCTGACATCCTCTTAGTTTCATGAAGAGCAAGCCTCATTCATGTTGACTTTTCTTTCTAACTATGGTGCTAATGGTTGTATGAATATCTTTCTCCTTTTAGTGGTGCTCATGTGATTTTAGATGATGATACAGATGTGGGCTATGTAGAAGATGGAACGCCGTGTGGTCCATCCATGATGTGTTTAGATCGGAAGTGCCTACAGATTCAGGCCCTAAATATGAGTAGCTGCCCACTTGATTCCAAGGGTAAAGTCTGTTCAGGCCATGGGGTAAGTAAGCATCTGTGTTCCGGTTCAAACCTTTATTGTTTGGCATCCTCAAAGTTCACAGTGGTCAGACTTTCATGCCAGCCTTTCCTTTTGTGAGTGTTGCCAGTATTTATGCCCTGACTATGATGATTTCTTTAGTATCCTTATCTGCTAAGGATAATACCCATATGTATTGGTATGGTTTTATTTTGTTGTTTCTTTTATCACTGGCTATTGTATCCACCATGTTGTCTATAGCTTGACATCTAAAGAGTTGGAAGAAAATTGATATTGTTCCTAAAAGAGTTATAGAACCCCCCGTGCATTACTTTGTACCATTCAAAATAACTTTAGTCCTCTCGGTAATTCCCTTTTAGCTACTCAGCGTGTATACTGAGCATCCGTATGTGCCAGATCACATAGACTAGGGGTTGGATCACTGATAGAATTCACATGTTTCAAGTCGTATGGTTATGCTCAGACCATTGCCAGCTAAAGAGAAGTTGCTTTCTCTACTCACACCTGCATGTATTTGTAATTCTATGAACTACATTTCTAGTTGAATGAATTACATTTGTAATTCTATGAAGTGGTTGGGCAGACGCTTCCTGGTAAACCTAGGCTTAATATCTAGAAACAAATTTTAATAATTATTTAAATTGGCTTATTAAAGGAAAGATATTTCAAAAATTTATACAGACTTTAGAAACGGAAAAAAAGAGACATGGGGAAATTGAGAGTGATAATGTAAAAGGAGGATGCTGGAGTGAAAGTAAACCTAATTCGGAATATAGTGAGCAGATGATGTGGAGTAGAACAAGGTAGAGAGGCCTAAGAAAGACATGCCCAGTGACTATTTAGAGTTTTGGGTTTAGTTGAATCCTAGGCTTATAGGCGGAGCCAGTATAGCTTAGTGATTTAGAGCATGGAATTGGAGGCTAGAAAGAGCCATGGGTTTGAGTCCTGTCTCTGCTTCTTGCTCTCCTGGTGACTTTGGGTAAGTCACTTACCCTCTCTCAGCCACCAGGCTGCTAGTGTGAGGATTAAATTAGATGCTTTACATAAAGCACTCGGCATAGTCAATGTGCAATAATCACTATGTTAAAATAAAAACACCGGACAGACCTTTCAGTTATTGCTCTGAAAACATCATAGAACTTAATGCCTACAAAGGACCTTCATTCCTACTACCCCTCCCACTTTTTCATCCTGTTAAATAAAAGGTCAAATTTAGTGTCGTTAATCGTAATCGTGATATTATAACATTTCAGATTAAAAAGCTTCTTACAGCAATAAGCTTGTATTCAATTTATCATCTCTAATGATCGGTCTCTGAATGTATCTCACAGGCAGATAAGAGTTTAAACACCTCTGTCTCTGGTTTGCAGATGGTGGTTTATTTCATATAAACTACAAGCCCTTTCCAGCATGCTGCTTGGTCTCCAGGACAAGCAAAAGGAGAGAAACATCATGCTAGGGGCTCTTTAACCTGGCTGACTAAGAGAAGGGGAGGTGGGCGGGGTGCTCTTTGGTCTGGGACAATGCTACCAAACAAAAGTGGTATTGGACATGGTGAGGTAAAACAGTGCATTGGTGATTTATGTCTTCTGGTCTTTAATCACTGGCCTTGCCACTGGAGCCCAGTATCTATTAATTTCTTAAATTAAGCATGTTTCTAAAGTATGTTCCTTAGAAACAACTACTTCTGAAAAAACTACATTGTCAGACATTTGTGCACTTAAGTAATTTTTTCAACACAAAGAACATTTAATTAAATGTTTTCTTTTTTTAATGGATCTCTCTCTCTAATTAACAAGAAAACACCAACAATTTAATGTATCATTGTGTTTCCTTGTCAACCGTGGGAGACCTAAAAAATTCAAAGAGGTTTTTAAAAGTTTCTACCCTGCCCCATGTCTCTTTTACATTTATCTCCATTATTCAGAAAAGCACAGTGAAAATGTGCCATCTCTGTTCTTTGTTCTTCACAGGTGTGTAGTAATGAAGCCACCTGCATCTGTGATTTCACCTGGGCAGGGACAGATTGCAGCATCCGGGATCCAGTTAGGAACCTTCACCCCCCTAAGGATGAAGGACCCAAGGGTTTGTGTGATTTCAGTTTCAATTCATTACATACTGAATTTGTTGGTACTCTTTCAGTGCTGCCAATATAAGAACTTAATAGATTTGAAAGGAGACACATCAGAATATCTTTTTTTGTCATTCAAATATATAATTCATGTTACTGCAGAATTAAGGATTCTAGAATGATGTATTGAGAGAAAAATGTTTGAATTTCCCCTTAGTTTGGAACTGAGGTTAGGAAGAAGTAAATACACCAGTTTCCTTCCTTCCAGTTTCCTTTCTTTCCTTTAAACTTTCTTTTTCCATAATCACATATGTTAATCATTTTATAGTCTGTCTACGCTATGCCAGTTTTCTAATAGACAATCTTTTTGGCTGACATGAGACTCTAGTCGTTCCTCAATAGTTGAGTCCCGCCAGAGGGGGATGGCAGTCTTCTATGCTCTGTTTAAACACACTTTTGATTAAGAAGAAGTTGAAAATCTTCACAGAACTTTAATTCTTCAAAGAGAACATGAACGATCTGGACTTTGTTTTAATCAGCCATCAGATGGAGAGAAATTAGAATTTTATTTTATTTTTTTATTTTTAAAAAAGATTTTATTTATTTATGTATTTATTTATGTATTTTTTTTTTATTTTAGGGAGAGTGAGCAGAGGGAGGGGCAGAGGGGGAGAGAGACTCTCAAGCAGACTTTGTGCTGAGCATGAAGCCCGACTCAGGGCTCAATCCCATGACCTTGAGATCATGACCTGAGCTGGAATCAAGAGTCAGATGCTCAGCCAACTGAGCCACCCAGGCACCCCTAGAATTTTAGAATTAGAAGGAGTCTCAATGGCCATCTAGAACCACCCTCGTTTTGCAGATGAGAACACCCAGGCCTTGAAATCAGGTGACATCCTCTAGTAACCCAGGTAACCAGATACAGGGCTGGGACCAGGACCCAAGTGCCCAGTCTCAGGCCCATTGTCTTCCATTACATTGAGTTATAATGTAGTCTTTGGCATCATGAACACGGTAATCACTTTCTCATTATTCCCCCCATTCCCAAGCCCTCATACAATTTTCAAAGATCTAAAAAAGGCATCAGTTACAATAGACTTCCTATAGCATCTATATATAGCATTGTACCTGAGAAACCGGAGTTACTAGAACAAAGGGTGGATCCCAGTGACATCATACATCAGCTTCTTCCTTTTCATGGTACCACTAATGGTATTTTATAAATAATTACCATGATTTTTTTTCCCTGCAGGTAGGAAAAATACATATAGAAATAGTATCATTTTGATCTGCTTTGTTTTGCATGAAAGCTCGTTTAAAATCTCTGAACCAGCATTGTCCATATGGGAAAATACGACTTCAAAAATGTATGAAGCTCCATGGTCCTCAATTCCTGAAGAGAATTAGCTGGTCCGGGTGCATGTGTAATGTTCAGTAATGGTGGGTGTGTTTAACACTCTCCATGCATTTGCAGAATATGGCCATGAAATTAAATTCTGTAAGAATCATAGTCACGCCCTCACAGTCTATTTCTGTTCTTCTCCTATTTGTAAAAAGGAACCAGTTCCACTTTTACATTTAGTCTTTAGTTACCTTAAAACTGGAACAAAAAATTCTTGGATCCACCTTCAGAAGTTAGATTTAGAGCAGATTTAAAGCTCTTACAAGGGAAGCAGACATTCACGCTTTCCAGATTTTCTCTCCATGGCATGTTAGTTTCTCTTCATTCTCCTAAAGATCTACATGCTGTCTTTTCCAGTGATGTATAAAGATGCCTGAAGAGATGAGCAGAGCTCAATTGGCTTAGCCTCTGTCCTTTTTCATTAGGTGGGGTGGGGGGATTATCAGGTGTCTGCTTCTGTCTGTTCCCCATTCCCTCGCCCACCCATGCCTAGAAAGCTTAGTTGGAGGCGTAAGCAGCTGCATTCTGGAGAAGAGGAGATTTGCAGCTGCCTTTCGTCTTATTTTCCTTGTTCCCGTGGTGCTATTCTATATTATCTTTTAAAAATAACTTTTATGACCATTCAAGTAATGCATGTTATTGTAGAGAATTTTGAAAATACAGAAAAGATTAAAAAGGAAATAAAAATCATGCTTAATTCCACAACTCAGAGGTAATCCATATACACATCCTGGTATGTTTCTTTTCTGTTGCATGTTTTCTTTTTTCATTTTTAACGAAGACAATGGAGTCACTAAAGTAAAGGCACCCACTGGTTCTAAAATTGTTAAAATCCTCGTGACTCCAGTAATCTTGATTAAATTGGAAAAAGCCATTAATTACTACAAATGAAGAGCAGTCATTATTGTAAATTATTAGATTTCCAGAAAAGGCAAGTAATTTTAGTATGACTAAATAATAGCTCTGTCTATGATGGTTATTAATATCTTTCCAACCTCTATAGAAAACTCTGTTAATACACTAGTAAAATGAGAAAACAACAGAAATCAAAGTTTAACGCCTTGTAGTGAGTTTCGTGATTTTATTTTTGATACTCTGCTTAAAAGAAAATGGTAAGAGAGAAACTCTGGACTTTATTTCGAAACTCTGGACTTTATGTCTAATTTTATCCAGATAGCAAATATTTATTGACCGTCTACAATCAAATGACCGCATATCCTTGGCATACTGTAGGCACTTAATAAATGTTACATCCTTTCCCATTGGGAACATGTGAAGGAAATAAAATGGTGCATGTTAGTGCTGATTTTCAGTTTATCAGTAATCATTTGTTGTATTGCCTTGTTGAAGAGGAGCAGGTCGTGAACTCCAGACATTGAAACAGTCTGTACTTTCTTGACTGTAAGTTCAGCTGCTTGTGGGGTGCCTTGGGTTTCCTCTAACTGCCATATATTCTTTTCTCGTGATCGAATTAGTTTGGTTGACCCTGGCCTTACCGATCACAGTGGGTGCTTCTCAGTTGCTTGCCATATATAATGGGCAACACCCAAATGATCTGGCCTGTCCTATCCATAGAGGAAGGTTTTCTGTGTAGATACAGTGACAGCATATTAAAAAATACTTAGTTTTATTTAATTTCAGTGTGCTTTCTTGTTAGGGAGAAAAAAAATCAAAAAGAAAATGGAAAATATTGCCTTTTTTTATTCCAAACGTGGGCATAAAAGATAAATTGTATCCAACTGCAGGCCTCTGGCTCAAAGCCTAATTAGTAAGAATCAAGGAGAACTCTGTGACTTTGGTTCAGTTGATTTGGGGGCATCAGAAATGAGCCAGTGTGGTTTGGAAATTTTAATTTAACAGTAAGTTTCTGGAAGAATAAAAATTCAACCTCTCCATCTGGGTAGGGACAAAAAAAAAAAGCACACATAAAAATATTGCCATTGAAGTCACTGTGCACTTGTTGACCCACAGTTTTAAAGTACATTGGTTTATTTGCTCCAACCTCTCAAACCAAAATTATTAAGACAGGAAATAGCATTTCAAAGCAAAAGCCATGTGAGCGGGGATTTTTTTAAAAAAGATTTTCTATTACATATTACTTCACTCATGTTCTCCACATTGCCGTTTATTTCACATATGAAGACTCTTCTGGTCCCTCTTCTCCCAACATGTGTCCACTGAATTCATGGGGAGAAGTTACTTTGGTTTATCCTCATGGGGTAGAATAAGTTTGCGCCCTTTAAAAGGCCTGGAACTCCCACCTGCTACAGGAAGAGCCAGTAGAAATTCTGGTAATTTTTTACAGTTTGTGGGCATCTTTGCACCATGCTTATTATGCAACACAATGGAACGTCTCTCATTGGATGGTGTGCATCACCATTACAGGAGGGAAGAGAAGAAACTGGAACATATCACATGTTTTCATTGATAAGGAAGGGCAGAGACTATTCTGAGAGCTTTGGTCAGCCCCTCTCATTATGTCCGTAGTCATCAAATCAGAGATAGAAGGGCCTTAGTGGCCATTCAGTCCAGACCCATTGCTCTGCAAATGAGAAAACGAACTTAATTATCCAGGTTAACTGCTAGATAGGGACAGAGCCAAGAATCAAACGGATCACCTGATCTTGAGCCGAATGCTTTTTCTGTTATTGTGCACTGCCTCATTTAAAGCTGAGTATTCAGTAATTCTGCTGGTTCTCAGTGAAACCAGAGGTGAAACAGTAATCAGGTAATGATTAAGCTGGTTAGCTGATCCATTACTTGCCAAGGGAGTATTATATTATTAGCACTTAATATTTTGAAAACAATAATTTCTAAGCCTTAATACCTTGAGGGGTATTATTTAGTGTTTCCATGTAATTTATCTTGTTGATAACTTCCTTTGTGAATGCACAAATCTTTGATTTTGTAGTTCAGATGATTAGATATTATGATTACCATATATGTTTATGCTCATGTATAATTATGTATCACCTATGTATTTTTCTCCTTTTAATAATGGCCTCATTAATAACTTAAGGATTTACCAGGTTTAAAATTTTTTTAGTAACTGAGTTTATTTTGTTTGAGTTCAGAAAAACTCCATGATATTTTCATTGACAGTATAAACTGACTGAAATAGTATTCTTATATGAAATAACTTGTTTCTCATCTTTTTTAGACATTTGTCCCAATGTATCTGAAAATGAACTTGAATTTATTTTTTAATTTCATGGAAAAGAGTAAGGAGATCTGATTGTGTGTCTAACATTGAAATATGGAGCTGTGCCAGTATTATACTCTAAAGTATAAAGAGTATATTTAGTATTTATTTCTAATCTTAAATTTTAGCAAAATCATAAATCCCTGCAGAAAGAACTTTGGCTTATAGAGTACAAACGATGGCTTTGATGCTTCCTGCCTTTGAAGTATTAAGGGGTGCAGGATTATAGTCCCTTTGGCTCATTAGAATCACATGGATGAAATAATGCACCATTTTGTTTCAGAAACTCTCTAAAAGTTTGAAAAAAAACCCAACTACTCAGTTTCAAAAGCACAATTTCACGCTATCTGAAGCATGACTTGTCTGTGGAAGAATTCTACATGTAAAGTAGAAAGTCTTACAAAAAGGAG